TGAAACAATGGAAAATGAAGCCCTCCAAAGAAGAGTCTCCAACCACCTTTTAAAAAATATATATTTTAGTTGTAGGTGGACATAATACCTTTATTTTATTTTTATGTGGTGCTGAGGATCAAACCTAGTGCCTCACGCATGCTAGGTGCTCTACCACTGAGCCACAACCCCAGACCCTCCAAAAATCTTAATAAAAAGTTTGCTACTCTGCAAAACTCAGATGTGGCCTGGTTTCCTGAGAGAGACCCATTGTAATTTCTTTCTTATAAAGTGACAACCTTTAGAGAAGAATGTGTACCTTCTGTTGTAATCCCAAGGCACAGTGGAACGAACATTGATCTTGGCATAAAAAGATCTATCTGCTCAGTCATTTTGTGGCTCTGTGACCTCTTTGGCTTAATTTACTATTCATAAAAGTTAAATAATACTTATCTACTATTTCAGTGACTGATTGAGAACCTCATATAAGATATATATATTTGTATTCAGAGCTTTTATAAACCCAAACTGACACACAAATAAGAGACTTAAAAAATATAAGCATTAAATAAAACTTCCTGTCATGAAATTTCCCAAGAGAAACAACTCAATTTGTGATTAGATGTGTCACTGTAAAGTCTATAAAGACATGGCTTTAAGCCTATCTAGTCCTTGAAATGCACCAGTCATTTCTCAAGAAGGTAAACTGTGACCATTGCCTAGAACATAGTTCATTGGCTGGTTACTTTTGAAACAAGCTGTTTTTAGACTGGATAATTAACATAACCATGCACATTTTCCCACCTGGCTGATCCTTTTAGAAAAGTAGTCTTTATGGTAATCCATTTTAAATTCATGCTCAGAGCCACATGTAATGAGTACATCCTAAAATACTATCCTCCTGAACCTGAGACTCCTGCATTTGTGAAAAGCCAGAACTGCACTCACATATCCCTCAGCCTGCCCAGGGCCTTCAGCATACCAAAGGCAGCTGATCAGTGGCCTCTTCCACTCTCTACCCAACTCTAAGGGCTGGCCATTAGTGCTTTCTCCATGCGGATTCTGCTATTAGTGCGCAATCGTGCGCATGTGAATACACATATACATACAATCAGTGAAGACTTGGAACAGTTGAGAATAATTTTTAAAGAAATACTGAAGCTACCCAAAATTCATTCTTTCAAACCTTAGACAATAATCCAAAAACAGGTTCCTGTCAGTCATAAATCTGCTTCTCTACATCGATGAACATGGGCCATCATTCTGGCCCAAACTCCCATCAAGATCTTTTCTCCCAAATCCGTTCCTCTGAATTCCATAAGACCTGATTCTAAAGTGAAAACGCAACCTATGCCCTCTGCTCCCTTCCACTGCTCAAATCCCCTGCTTTACTTGTTGAGCTTGATGGGGAATAAAACCCAGCTCTAGGTCAATTAACTTTATGTTCCCTCTGTTCCTAACTAAGACTGCATGCTGGAGTTCTGAGTAACTACAAACCTATAACCTCACCTAATTCAAGCCTTCTTTAGTCAAGTTAATATCTTAAACAGTGACCTCTTCCTTAATTTCCAGGCAGAAAACCACAAGTAGCTTGCTGAAGAAAATAAGTCAGTACAATGTCACTCTCACCTTCTCTTGTCTTAATCATCTCTTTCCCATTCCTTCATATCAAAAGGCATCCCCACCCCAGCCTATTCTTCCACCTGATTATCTGGAGGATACAACACTGGAGGTAAGAAAATCAATAACCAACACATGGTCAGTATGGTAGCATAAGAGGTAGGCAGCAACTGGAACTGTGGCTTCAGGAATGTTAACATGTCCCCTCAGCTTCCCCCAAACAGAAGAGCTGGTCAGAGTTATAATCACATACAACCACCAGCACTGGTGCACAAGTCCTTGCATCCCTGGTGTCAGAGGAAAAAGGAAGACATGTTAGAGATTACTTCTGTTTTTCTGGAAAAAGATGGTTGTGAAGAGGTAGAAATATGGAAATAATTTAAAATAATGACTTCTAAAGCTGCAGTGCTATCAAGGTGATCTCATAAGATGTGGAAAGAATATGATATATATTTACATTTCATTTAAAAGGAAATCAATCTTCATTGACACCAATTACAGACTGACATGGGGACCAGCCCTCCAGTGACATCTGCAGCATTTGAAGCCTCACCTCCAGTCTATATAGAAGTGAACCAAGAGCTGAGTGGAAATTCCAGTAGCTCCCAAACTCCTTACTTTCCATTTGGAATGCATAGCAAACTACAGCTATCTATGTCAAGATGGGTGAGTGTAAAAATTTTATTTAACAAACTAATCTTTAAAAAATGGCTTAAAGGGATCCCTGCAAATAAATAATGGATTGAAGTCACTTTATAATTCAAGAAACAAACAATAAAAAGAGATGACCCCCTCCTCCAAGTCTTTCATCAGGTACATCATGAATTAAAACAAAGAGAATCTCATCAGATTTGAGAAAAATCTGGCTAAGAACATTTAACTGTTAAGACTGTTTGAAATACACATGTGCATCAATGTTGTTAAATCTCACTTTAAGATTAGCGAGACTTGATAGCTATTCATAAATACTTACAAATACTCTAGAAGAAACTAACACACACATTACTGAAAAAATTTTATTCAAGGGAACATGGAAGTCTGGAGACGACTAGCACAGAAGTTAGAAACTGTGGGAACCAAATCTCCTAGTCTTTGCCCTGGGGCAAAGTAGCTGTACTTTAAGAATAATAACATTCTAAAAGAATGTTTTGTTTTTATTTGGAGAAAACTTTTGAGAAACTTCTTAACCTCTACTTTCATCTCCTATGCCGTGTTCAACTTCCAATAATGAAGAACAATTAAGAGTATGAAATTCCTTTGAAGGGCTTGGGTGTAGTTCAGTGGTAGAACACTTGCCCTTAATGTGCAAGGCCCAGGTTCAGCCCCAGCTCCAAAAAGAATGAAAAACAAAAACAAACAGGAAAAAAAATCCTTTGAACATTCTTTGTTTTAAATTCATGTTGTTTTAATTTTGCACATTTATAGTAGTAGTAGTAAAAAAAAAAAAAAAAACATGTCTATGTACATAAAATTTCAGTCTTGCAGGTTAAGTCAAAAATTTCAAAGCACTATATGAACCATTTCTTGACCACTTTGTTGATGACTTCATTTGCTTCTAAGCAGTTTCTGGTAGTAGTCAAGTCATCTCTAACATATATAAAAAGAAAATTAAGTTACTAGAGTACTAAATACAAAGCTGAAGTGTCTTTGCCTTCTTCATGGGGTCCTAGGTGGTAGTGTCATCAGACACACATAGAGAGAAGCAATAGGTACTTGAAAAAGCTGTTTGTGGGCATCAGATCCACCCAGGAGACCACAAAGAACATGCACTTCAAAGCAACCTGTCAAAAGGAGCAGACAGCTGCATCTCATTTCAGTTTCCCTTGCTGCCAATAAAGTTTTAAAATAATAAAAAACAATAATAGGATCCATTCTTCACCTCCTCCTACCTTTTCTTTTTTCACAGGTCAATCCTAGACAGCTGGGGCCATTTCCAAGCCCTTCAACCTACCTTGGCCATAAAATTAACCACATCTGAGATTTTACTAGGCCAACTCCTTCCTGTACTGATGTCAAAGAGGATATGCTACATATGCTATTGTTTCAGAAGAAAGGAGCATTATAAAAGAACCAGTAGTTTTGATTAAGACAAAAACTGTCTACTCCACGGTTTAGAATTGAGGTTCATTCCAATGTATTTTGCGAGATGGGGGTCTCACTATGTTACTCAGGTTGATTTGGAACTCCTGGGCTCAAGTGATCCTCCTGTTTCAGCCTCCAGAGAAGCTGGGACTAGAGGTCTGTGCCACCACACCTGGATCAATATTCTGCTGCTTAAAAAGAAATCGAAAAAATACAGAGAATAAGGAAAAGAAAAGAAACGTGTGCAGGGGAAGAGGCATTCCTGTTGCATTCAGTAAAACTTACAGGAGGATTCTTCAGAATTCAGTCTGAGGTTCCAGGATTATTATTAGCACAGAGGAGAGAAATGATCAGTCATCCCGTCCCTATTTCAAAAGCTCCCATGAGGGCAAATGCTGATAAGTTCCTTAAGACTTCTCTGAAATATTTTAAACTACCTATCTTTTTTCAAAAAAGCTTATTTTATAACTTAAAAGGAAAATCCTTAGCTCTTTAACAGGGGTAGCATTCAAACAGGTTGAGATAAAATCATTCCCTTAAATCTGTCTTTGAAGTGGAAATGTGAGCGGATGCAAAGCTCTCCAGGAATAAAAATTCCAACTGCCTTCTCAGATGACATGTTTATAATCAAAAGCAATGACTATGTAGCACCTAATCTCATAGGTTTGAATTACACTTTCCATCACGGGTTTCCACCTGAGACCCATGCTTTGGCAAAGAAGGACTTACTACTGCTTAAAAATGGCACCAATTTATGTCATTGGAAACTCCAGACTCAATGTTGGCCTCTGTTAAAAAGGCCAAGCAGGAAAAACATAATCCCTGTTCCCAAACACCACCACTGCCATTTGTTAAATTAAATTCATGAAGTTACACAGAATGCCATGACCTGTACTGCCCAGAGCAATAATCAACCATCCTAATTATATCTGATGCTATTTTCATATTTAGGAAATTCTGCAATCTGATTTTTAAATGAATACAAGTCAGAAAAATATCACTATGTTACCTTAGTGAAATCTGTCATCCTGTCATATATATCCTAATTTCAGTTCATTTTTCAGTGATCTTTCTTATTAATTAACTGCAAGAGGGCAGGAATATTGTAACCTTAGAGGTCTCAACAGTGTCTAGCACATGGCCAGTACTTACTCAAAATATTCGCTTAATGAGTGACTAATCTTATTCGAACTTCCTTTTGATATCCCCCAAATTTAGCCTGCCATACTATTAGTAAACATAAACAAATACTCTTTTTTTTTTAAACCAATTAATGAACAACAGAAAAAGTTCACTTTAAATAATCAGGTATTCCACAGTCAAGTGAATATGTTTTATTAAATGCATACTAATATCTTTCTATAGTATGTGAGTATACATAATAAATTAAAATGTATATATTTATTAAATATAGGTAGATATAATATCAGAACATGATTATTTCAGATGTTCAGAAATCAAAATAAACCCATTTTAAGTATCTTTTGGTCACTCCAAATTGATACTGCTCATAAAAAAATACACCAATTTTCCCTGGGGAAAAAATTAATTCCATAGCAATGTAGTTAAGGGACATGTTTTATTTCATAGCTTTTTGCAAGCAAAATTGCTTTGTTACAAAATGAGTTCAATGATACAGGTGCTACTGTCCACTCAAGCGAAAGAAAACCTCACATTTATATGAATGCACTTTATAATTATATTCTTACATTATATTAGGTCTAACGTCCAGGACGCCTCTGGCCGCATTTAAAGCAATGGCACAGAAATGCTGCAGGGTACTTGAATATTGTGGTACTGGTAAGTGCCTGAAGTAACCTCCTGTGGGTTCTCTGTCAGATACTGCTTGAAGAACTGTGTATGGATGTGTTCGTCTTTTGCCTTCCACTTCTTAGTTTACATTTACATCATCTCAAAATATATCCCTGGTGCGTCATTTTTTGGCTATTCAGAATTTCCATAAAAATAAGAAAATGTCATGAGGTATCCTTAATGTTAGTTATCAATGTAGTGCCGTGGTTGTCAGAGAGGATGCAGACTTACCTGTAGGTACAGTAACTGATTTTAGTGTATGCTCTACACAATACAGTGCAGAAGTGTTAGTTCATGTTAAACTCTTTCTTCCCCATCACATATGATGTGACTTTAACCCCAGAATATCTGACCAAAAAATGATACAGATCAAATAAAAAGACAAATACACAAATAAGGCCATCTTCAGAATTTTAAACTCACCTCTTGCAATATTTCACAATAATTTCTACATCATATTTTACATTGTTCAAACTTAAATAATAAATGAATAAGGAAGGGCCTTGGTGGAACCAATTGCACTATCTCTTTGAGGACTTGTCCAATTTGCTGGCAGGTGACTTCCTCTGAGGTGTGGGGATTTTGGAAGGCTTGGCTGTAGATGGCCGAGAACCTGCTCGGGGTGAAGGTCTGTGTGTCTGGGGGACAGTCTCCACGTCTGAGCACACGGACTGGATTTCTGAAATGTCAAAGTCTGATGCATCGCTGCCTCGGCGGCTGCTGGCCCTGCTACCAGCTTTGCTTCCTGCTCGGCTTCCTGGTCGGCTGGGAGTCTTTTTGGAATCTGAGGAAAAAAGGCAGAGATGGGTCAACCTTATTCAATTCTTGAAAACCTGACACCATTTTCTATCTGGGACATTTTTCTCCTGACACCTAGTAGGCACTTTTCTAAGACTTTGGATTTATGGATTTTTCTTATTATGCAAGGATTAAGAAGACTTACTTTAAGAAGATGTAACAGAGCAAAAGCTAGATTCACATATAAATGGTAAGTCTGGGCTTGCCCTACATATCCAGGATTCCAGGTACCAATCACTTGGGATTGTGCTTCCTAAAGAGTAGCACGTGTAACCCTGTCACATGGAGCAGACTCTTAGGTGTAACTCAAAGAATGCAGAAATTTAAAAGAGAAGACTTGAAATTCTATAGAAACATCACATTTGCTGAGTTTAGAACTCAGTGGTTAGTAGTTCACTATATTTCTTCACAGGTTCACTACTATGTGAAGAAATGTAAGAGGCACTGGCATAAGGCTTGTTGTGGATGGGTTTTTCCAACCACCCCAAACATCTCTGTACAAACTCTGAGCAAGCAGAAGAGATACGGGCTTCTAGTGTGAAGCAGTGCTTTTTTTTTTTTTCTTCTGGCCTGTAGTCATTCTCCCATCTTTCTTTGATGCTTTCCCAAAGGATTTTCTTAGTCACTTGCTCCCATGACTCATTTATTATCTACCTTTATTAGAGGATTGGGGCTACATGCTATTTCAAAAGAACACTGCATTGCCAATTCAAAATTTCTTTCCCAATTAGGAAGAAAGGGGACTAGGGACTATAATCTTCAGTTCATCGTATTGCAAAAGCCTTTAAAGAAAGAAATGCACCACACTCACCAGCAAACTGTGTTCGGACTCTGGCAGCTGCGGTTGTTATCAAGCCACTGTCCTCTCCGGAGTGGAAGCCTTTCCCTGATAAATACCCTGGAAGTCGCAGCTTGCTTCCCTGTATTGGTGTTCCCTGCATTAAACCAGCGGAGAGACATTTCAAGATATTGCTCGTGCACCATGACATTCCACTGACACCACTTTATGAATGGGTGGGAACCTATACAAGACCCCTTCAGGAGATGGGAACTTTACAATTGAACAAGGCATAGGGCACCTACTTTCCTTCCCCAACCATTAACTTTCAGCCAGAGTTTGAAGGAAACCTTTTAAAGAAAATGGATTCCCGGTTGAAATAAAAACAAAAAAATGGAGGTCCCCAGTAGAATACAAAAGTGACAGCAAGGAAAACAAGACAAATTGAACTGTGAGTACATTAGTATCTTCCATACTGTCAGTGAATGTTACAGAGTTAAGAGAGTTATTGCCACAGGATGGCAACCGCCTGGTGAAGAGAAGGGGACATTCTGTTGCTTCCAATGCTTTTAAGGAATTAGGCAGAAATAAACAGAAATAGAAGAAGTACATAAACAATGCCTAGACAGCCACTGTTTAAACAGACTTAACTGCAAAAAGAAAGAGGGATGTTTTACAGGTTAGTACCACTATGTCACTTCACTTCTTGGCTCTGTCACTTTCTATAGTCCTTACATACAAGATTCCTAGGGGACATTTGGGCATAATTCTTTTAAAATGCTACAGGAATTTGTAGAGAATGGCTGAAGCAATTATATAATTCTATGATAAGTCTAAAATCACTGCATTTTCCCAGATTCTGACAACATTTTGAAAATTCTGCCCAAGTTTAAAAAACAAATAAGTCTCTTGAGGAATACAAGCAGCATCACATTCCTCAATGAATGAACACAGAGCCGAGGAGCTATTTGGAGAAAATAAATCTATACAAATTATGTGTACATTCATAAAATATCTAATTTCCTCTTAAAGTTTTCAATATTTAATAAAACATATGCAGGACCACCTGATATGTCAGAGCTGTATTTATTAATATGAATGTAATATTCCTACCATTCATCTACATGTGTATGTCATACACACTTAAGCATAGTGTTTATACATGGTTCACATACAGTGCTCAAGTTTTCAGAAGACTTTTACACATATAACCATAATTAATCACCCACCTTTCAATAAATGTAAAATATCAGGGCCCAAGGAGGAAGTGATTTGCTTCCAGTCTAGCTGATATGGTTAAATTCCTCTCTTACAAAGAATCTCAACAGTCAACAGAGACTGACCACAGGTTATGAAGTGTATCACTTAAGGTGGTAGAAGTCAACGACCAAAATCATTCTTCTCAGATTGCCTTGTTTTGATTTAATATCATAGACTCTTTCCATGAAGACATATTCTTGGTTTGTCTGGTTGGCTGGTTTGTATTATTTATTTATTTATTTTATATATATTTTAGTTGTAGGTGGACACAATACCTTTATTTATTTATTTTTATGTGGTGCTGTGGATCAAATCCAGTGCCCCACCCATGTTAGGCAAGCGCTGTACTGCTGAGCCACAACCCCAGCCCTGGTTTTTATTTTTAAGGTAATTTGAAATGAGACAGTTTTTTAGTGCAAACAACAGACTTTAATTTTAGGCAGTTTCTACTTTAAAAAAAAAATTAGAACACAGCATTTTAGCCCTAAATATTTAAAACAAATGCTAAAATGTCACTTCAGATTCTTTAAACCTTTCTCAGTTTTTGCTACTGTAGATCCAATGACTGACAGAAAACTCCATAACTAATCTATGAAACTAATATTCTCCACCTGGAAGAAAAAAGGTGGGGGTGTATAGGGGTTGGGGCAGGAAGAGCAAGGAATGAGGAAAAGCTGATGAATGGGGTGTTTCTGCCTCAGTCCTACCACCTAGTAGTGGCAGAACTGCCATCAAATTGTGAAGGTAATGAACTTTTCTCTGCCTACAACTTACTGTTGTGAGATAGGAAAGTATTTTGAAAAGCACAAAGGACATTGTAAAGGTACCATATTTCTTCATACAAGGGTCAAGTGGCCTTTTAAGATATACTTGATCATTAAGATGAAATACCTCCTTTATTTTAAGAAAAGATGTTTAGGGATTTTCCCCTAATTACTGTCACTTTAATCAAAGAGGTGATTATTTGGTGCCTATGTTTGTTATTTCATGGAGAAGTTTCTCAAAAAGATACATGGTTGACTTTTATCTGCATATGACTCTCAGATGAGAGTCAATCTTGGCAAATTTTATGTTCCCTAAATATCTTATTCTCCTATGTCATGCTATATTGAGATATAAAAGCATCCTTCAAAAATATTAGTCCTTCAAATCTGATAAAGATGCTTTTTGAAAATCACAGATTATTTTCTTGCCTACCCCTTTGACCTCCTGCATAGATCACAGGACTTGTCACATCTACCCAGTGGTGCTGGGCAGAAACAAATGCAAAGGACATTAAGAAGGACCATGCCCAGAGTGAACACTTGCTAAAGTTGGTTTTTTTTACTTTTTTCCTTCTTTGTAGTACTTTGAATCTAGGGGTGCTCTACCTCTGAGCTACATCCCCAGTTCTTTGTATATTTTATTTTGATACAGGATCTCCCAATGTTGCCCAGGCTGGCTTTGAACTAACCATGCTTCTGCCTCAGTCTCCTAAAGTATCTGAGATTCCAGGTGCATGCCACTATGCCTAGCTTGGAATTCTTTTAACTGATTCTCTTCCAAATGATGCTACTTCTTACTCCTATCTAAAAGGGATATGTTGCCTTTCTTGTCCAAATTATGTCTATCAGTGAAAGCATTCCATCAGCTTTAAAAGAAATTTTACTGAGGTCTGGATATTTTAGCAAGGCTGGTATTTCACTCTTTTAAGAGAGAAAGTAGAATTAAGTATAGGTGAGAATAAAAAAAGCAAAGGAATCATAGAGCCTGCAGGTATGACTAGGGCAAGCTGCCACTGTCTTTTCTGTTAACTCCTTACTCTCTCAGAACTTACTCTCCTTACTCTTCTCAGAACTGCCAGGCTGATGCTTATTTCACAGAAATCTATAAAAAGATGTAGCATTATCAAAAGTAAATACAGGAAAGGAGTGGTGCAGCAGTGTTAGTGGGTGGTAAGTTTCAGTTAAATGGGACTGTTAATACTGGCATCTTGGGCCTTACAATACCTCTGCAGATGACACGGGAAAGTCTGAGCACTCTGCTGGTTTACAAGGAGTTGACATTTTGCTGTTTGTCAACCATGGTTTACCATAATTGCGTGTTAAAGGATGGAGAATCTGTATGGAACAATGGCAAATCAAATGTAAAGGACAGCAGGTAAAAACAAAGCACAGAAAGAGATATTCATAGCAGAGAATCACATTTCACAGTCAGAATAATAATAATTAAAAATAAGTAGAAAGCTCTGATGGCAAATCATACACATAACAACAACAACAAAAAGAGAATGAAATTCAAAAAGAAAAATCAAATCAATCTGAAAGATTAAAAAAAAAAGCCCCTAATCTCTGTATGGGCCACTAGGAATATATATTTTTAAAAAGTCCTTAATTTCCTATATCATGAGAAGAAACATACATGGAAACAGTTAATCTTAAAAATTCTAGAGACCTAAAACATTCAAAGGTATACACTCAGGACATTGGCTACTTTGGAGAAGGAAAGAATTTTATTCTGGAGTCCTACCTTGGGTGTGGTGGTGACAGGGACCTGTGGGGAGGCTGCCTGGCCAGCCTGACTGGACACAGAAGTAGATCTGTTGGGCGAAGCTGCTCGTGAGGAAGGCCGGGATCGGCGTCCCCGGGGTCGGAAAGCAGCCATACCCTGACTGGCACCATCTGCTAAAATGAACTTCTCACGCAGCTCCATGTTGGTTCTTCCTTTAGCTGGAAAACACATACACACACACACACACACACACACACACACACACACACACACACATACACACACACAGAAGGAAAAGAAGAGGTATTCAATTGTTATGGAAAGAATGACCACAGCAGCACCAGAGGTCACCCTGAGAATTTCAAGAACATCTTTTTGCCATGCCAACTCCAACTCAGCATAACAAAAAGTTAAATGCATTCCTTTACAATGCATTCCTTTTGGATACAAGTGAGTTTGGGGAGGAGGAAAAAAGTGTGCTTATTCTAACACTAGACACCAGCAAAAATAACCACTATAAAAGAAAGAGTCAGCATGAAAATGGAAAGCTCATGCTAAAATACTGTTAATCCACCAGTTACTGATGCCCACACGGTTTCATTACCCTTTCACCACACCAAGAAGACAAGCCAGGAAGGCAGGGACTGTGTCTTTTGCATGTAACATTGAGGTCAGGAGAATGCCAGTACTTAACACTGGGATTAATTAAACAATAGAATTACACAGAACGAGAGATGGCTCATTAGTCATGGTGACAACACATAAACTTCCAGATTTTTCACTGAAATGAGGCAGCTAGTATTTTTATTTTATGCCTTTAAAAAACTGTTTTACCAACATGCAATAACAAACACCAGACCCAAGAATCTGTTTGTTAGATAGTCAGTGATGCAGCACTCATAGAAACACGTATGCACATGGAGAACGCGCCCCAAGAACCCGATGGGCCAAGTGTCAGCATGTATTTGATCACTTACATGACACCTGCATTTGCAACACACCAGGGATGTGTTACAGTTTCGGAATTTAAATTTGGAAGCACCAGCTCAGTTGGATATGAGTTAAGCCATACACAATGAATGAAGCATGTTATATTTAAAAAAATGATTAAAGCAAGAATGTAAAAGTAGGAAAGAGAAAAGGAAGGAGGCAGAGGCAAAGAGAGGGGTTGCCAACCTATAGTAGGCTGAGTAGTAGTAATTGAAGAGTTTGATTCCGAACGTAACATTTTACTCCCATGATGATGAACTAGAAAAAATGACACAGGATACCAATCACATTAAAGAATACTGTTAGCAGGAGAAGAAACAAAGTACAGTAGTTGAATATGCAAAAGGTGCTCAGATCCAGCCTTTAGCACATTTTAGAAGAAAAGTTGCATAAGGAAAAGAAGCCCTCAAAGGTCTGACTCAACAAGAACAACATCTGAAAGACTTTGCAACAGCCATGCTAACTTTACTAAGCATCCCAACACAACTGTATACATTTGAATTTGTTTCATAACTAGAGCTGCATTTTACTTTAGGCTGCTTTATTTCCAAAATGCAGTCATGCACCACATAATGATGTTGCAGTCAACGATGGACTGCGTATACAATGGTGTTCCATTAAGACTGTGGCCACCCTAATGTTGTAGCCATTGTAACATAGGGCAATGAATTACCCACATTTGTGGTAATGCTGGCATAAACAATCCTATTTACACTGTCACTAGTATAAAAGTATAGCACACATAGTTATGCATAGAACAAAACACTTGATGACAATAAAAAATCACTTGTTTGTTGATTTACCATACTGTATTTTTATTGTCACTTTAAAATGAGTGTATTCTTTTCACGTATTAAAAAAGTAAAGCATGCTGGAAGATGGTATGCCATGTTATTATGCCAGCAGCACCCTTCTGTATCATCTCATGTTAACTGCACCTCTTGGTGGCATTATTTTCTCCTGAGCTTGATTTAATCTTAAATTGCTTTTTGGTCTTGGCTCTAGGCACAATACGTTATATCATGTACATACACATATATGTACATATGTGTATACCCACACATGTATTGCATATAGCAGCCAGGTGTGCAGTGAGCCATACCACGTAGGTTTGTATAAGAATGTCTCATGTTTGCACAATAATGAAATCACCTAATAATGTATTTCTCAGAACATATCTCTATTGTTTTAAGTGATTCCTCACTGTTATGATAAAATAGGAATTTTATTCTTATTTTACTTTTCTTTTTAGGTATATTTTTAGTCTATAGAGGCCAGAGCTACTGCATATGACTATATAACAATGCAAGGCAGCCTTGGCAGACAGGCCTGCTGATTCTGATAGATCTGTGTATTTAGTTACTGGGATAGAAACCCAGGGACCCCACTGGAGGATCCTTGGTCTCACATATTCTTATTCTAATAGGCAGTGCTGGCACAGACCTTTAAAAACAACGACAATAAGCTCACAGGTTAAAGCAAATCATAATTCTACTGTTTCTTTTTACAAAGGCAGGAAAAGTGCCACTCAGTAGATGACACCTAATTTGAAACCTCAATCAAATGTTCACTTATAAAGTAAATCAATTAAGAATTTAACAACTGACTATAGAATCTGAAAATAGGAACATTAAAAGCTAACCTAGGACTCTCAGGTTGGTAGATAGGGAACAATTATTATTATGTTATATATTATATATTATAATATGATTACATATTATTATATAATATATAGTATTATATTATAAAATATAAATATTAAATTTATATTTTAATATTTAATATTGCAACTTGAAAGTAAGAGTAAAGTTAGCAGTTCATTATTATCTTTTAAAATTTTAAGTACTCCTTGCCTCACCACCCCATCAAGTTGTTAAAAACTCTGACTTTGGAACTTCACTACCCAGAACCTTTAGTCTTCATCACCTCATTTTTTTTCCTCCTACCTTGCTACATAATGGCAGACAGAATCCTTTCCTTTGCAAGTTAAGTATTCATTTTGAAAACTGCAGAACAGAAAGTCTCATGAAGAAAATCTAATCTAGTATTTCCTACCTACGTGTCTAAAGTAGTAACAAATAAAAAACCGAGAAGAACATGGTTTGTGTGACTGCCACAGTTATTCGGGAACTTAAGGCTGAGAGACCAATGTGAAACATTCACTGCTAGAATAAAACACCACAATTATGCTCAGAATGTTTTCGTGCTAGAAAACAATGCGAGCTTGTGCTTTTGTGGTGTCGTCTTGACATGAGTGTCTCCTTACCCCTGCACGGATCATTTTTCACTAAGAACTCATCAAGCGCCATCCATCCTCCTCCAACTCGAACCATCACTGTACTTCGCAGGATCCGAACCAGTCGCAGCTGCTGGGAGTCTCCAAACTGTGCAGGGAAGAAAGAAAGCATCTCTAATTGTCAAAAAATAATTCTAAAGTAAAGGATGATGTGCAATCTGAAGTAGCTTAAGCAACCAACTTTGATTTCTTGCTTAGTTCACAGCGATTAGTAAAATCTCAGAAAAAGGGGTTTGTCATGATCTGCGTTAGACTGCTGCATGCGGATTTAGCCCAGAGGAAACAGATTGGGAAAAGATTACAAAGGTTATCAAGTATAATATCAAAGCTCTATTCTAAAAATTATTTTTCTTTCCTATGACAGAATCAATATTAGTAAGGCAGTTATAGGAAATTGTTTCTAGAAACTAAACACAGCTATAAAAATAATCACTGGCCTACTTGCTGAAGGCTTATACAAGATAAGATGATTCTATGGCACATTTAATAAACTGATTCATCTTCATTAGAATTATGTCTTACATGAAAACTATTTTCCATTCAAATATGTGGGAGAAATAAACTCATTTTAAGAATTTTGACTCATGGAAAATAATGTAATAAATATGTATGACTAATAAAAAATTCATAATCAACTAAAACTTCTCTACCCCTAATTATCTGGCAAACCAACTTTTTAAAGGTTGAATTAATATGCCACTTTAGATCACCATAATATTAGAACAGCCACTAGCAAAATATTAATGATACGGCTCTTAAAAACTAAATGGGGTTCTCTTAAAGGTATTTGTATCATAATACTTGAGACTAACAAGCAAATCATTTTTTTATTGCCCTTTCCATGAACGGCCAATTACTTGGGATATGCTTCGGATTTTGCAAGTCCTAAATAAATGCTTCACTACAGGTAGTTCTGATCATAAGTTTATTTGTTTTGAAAGCCTGTGAGAAATGATTTTACAGTTATAAATCACTTCTAATAGGCTCATGTCCAACTTATGAAAACCACCATACTAGATTTCATGGCTGCCAACCCAGCAGATACCAAAGCAAAATGAACAATTAAATACAAATAGTTTCTTTTTAAAGCAGGGAAGAAACAATTGCAACATCAACTACTTGTCTGAGCTTATTGTGATAAACAGAAAACTTTATATAGGAACCGTCCGCTACTGTTCAGTAAGCTTCAACATTAGATTTCTGTAAGAGAACCCTAAAACAAAACCAACCTATTCACAGTCAAGATCCTAAAACTCACAAGAAACTCAGAAAGAACTGGGAAGAATGTAAAAGGCACCAGCGGGAACTCATGCGTTTTACATCAGACCTTGTAAATAACTATTTCTAAATCTGATTTTTAAACACTGAGACTTAAATGTTCTTATCAGTGAACCTGTTCCTGAAATATAAATGTGAGTTTAAAAATGAAAATGTTTATTTTGTTAGAAAAAATATGGTGCTGCTAATAAGCAAAGGGAAAGGAGGGGATTTAAAGAAAATTACCCTTAAGGAACCAGATAATTCCAAGATTATGCTCCAAACAAAAGCTTTTAAGAAAATAACTTTTGTAGAGATATTTCAGCTCTATTAAATAAGTAATTTTCAATTTTATTTTAAAAAGGCATTCTCCAGACAACTAACCTTGTCTTCAGAATTTTCCTAATTTTCCCAATAGGCAAATTGTGAGACAAGAAAAAACCAGATTAATCTTGTTCATTGTGTTTCTAGTAAATTACATCTCTGGAGGTAAGTGTTTATCTTATTCTTTCCACAAATACAAGATGCCAACCCACTTGCTGACTCAGAGGATAACAAAAATGTAAAAAAATAACATTAATGGAAACTTTACCCTGATTTGATCCTTATACATTGTATACATGTACCTGTATCAAATTATCAATATGTAAATATGTACAATGATTATAGTAATTAAAAATATTTCCTGGAAAATATACTCAAAATAAGTGAATATTTCTATTTAAATTATTTGCCTACAATAGATTGGGTAAGAGGTATTTGAAACATAAGATATAATATTGATTAAAAATGGAGTGCCAGAGTAATAATATCTAATATGATATTGTTAGGTAAATTAGATAGTACTGTTCTTTACAAAAGAATGAATTAAAAAACTTAAACTTTAATATGTTTAAATCAAAACAATTTCTCTTGCCTTCAGTTTTGAAATGACTATGCTATAATGTCACTAGGCAATTTATATTGATGTAAATGTCAATATATTTGGTCAAGTTGTCATAAAAAAGGTCTTGTATATTATATATGATAATTTTCCTCAGAAGCAATGGCATCATCTAAAACCTGCAGAGTTACTGTATCTATCCAGAGGATGGAAAGCCCTAAATCAATCATTTAGGGCAAATGGAAAATAGCAGCCTTGAAAATAGCTGCATGTTACTTGTGGCTGAATGACATGGAGACCTCTTAGTACTGGGTCTTCTCATGCCACTGCCTGATGCTGATCCTTCTCTGCCACTGCACACCATGCATCCTAAATAGTGAAACATAGAGATGTGTGGAGAATTAAATTTGTGTTCCAATGAATACTTGCATAAATATATACTTATAGCATTATTAAACAAGAGAATTGAAAATTACGTTTGTTAATAGTGTAGCCAACTATGTAACAATTCATTATCTGGTTTGCTTAAAAGTAATCTCCTCATTTGAGACACAAGGCAAAAAGGAATCCTGGATCAAGGACCCTTATAGCGCTGACAGAAACACCACGCCAACCAACAATGTAGTAGCTAGGGAGGCAGCATGGGAAGATTGGCCAGGGCAAGCTTTAAGGGCTATGAATTAAAGGTAAAAAAAAAAAGAAAAAAAAGAAAAAGAAAAATCATTGGGCACTTGAGAATACATTCCACTGGTTTATACCTGATTTCCCAGGAAGAACTGATAAAAAAAATGAAAAATGGAAGAAAGACACAATTAGTTCAACAGGAAACTTTCTATGTGACTTGAGAATACACACACACACACACTCTCACACTCTGGGCTTCTGGATATAGTATCTAGTTTAGAGATGTGCAGGTACCCAGGTCTCCCAACTTCAAACCAAATAACCAGAAAATTTCCTCTACAATTTTACTGAAAACACTGAGGATTTTAAATTTAAAGTTTGAATATACAAATGAATTTTTATCAATGTGAGAGTATAAAAAGAAATAATGTTGCAGTTGTAAATTCACAAAGGGAAACTCAGCACATTTCCTATCTAGCTACTACATATAAGAGATGTTCCAAAAAGGAAAATTAAAAAAGACAAAATGATGAAGTCACATTGCTCTTCTGTTTTAATGAACCAGGTTGAGAGTTTGAATAAAAGCAAAAATTACTGTGTAAATGGAAAAAATATTGCCTCTTACTCATATTTATAAAAATGAGTCAAACTTTTTAACTTTGTGGTTATGCTTTGGAATAGCTTTTCTATTTGAAATCTGGAATTTACCTCTAATCAGAATGGTAATATTATTTATAAAATTGTGTGAAGCAATGACAGAAATATATGAGATTGGAGTGTTTTATTGTGAAAATTTTTCTCATTAAAAGTAATGTTCATGTTGCAAATGTCAAGGATACATCCTAATTAAAAAATGAAGGGTATCTCTACATAACTTACAATAATAAAAGTAGAAGTTTCATATGCCATTAAATTTTGGTATGTAAAAATAATTAGGATTCCTGGAAAACAAGGCAGATCAAATGGTACACAAATTTCAATTTATATCCTTTAAAGGAACTATGAAGTTATTTGGAAAACTTACCCTGTACTTGTTATCACCAATCTGTTCAACTTGAAATCGTTTTGCACATTTACACTTAGCTACCTGCCTTGTTACCTGCCAAAAACAATGATGAAATATTCACTTTAATGTTAATATTACACAGTGGAATCCTTACAACTTTGACACAAGAACTAAAGTGGAAGTAAATAAAATGGTTGTATGAATTGCACATGATGTCCTGGCAGAACACACTATTATTTTTGTAGACAGTGGAAAGATAATGAGTACCTCATCTTCAATTTTGTCAGCATCTGTGATAGGTTTATATGCATCTTTATTTGGGTGAAGGGCTGCTACAAATTCATAGTAGTCAATGTATCCATCACCATCTCTATCAAAGATGTCTGCGACTGCACTCATCTCCAGGCGACTGGTGGGGAACTCTAGAATTTTATAAAATGATAGTAAGAAGGTAACTTGTTAATTCTCAAGCCATTCTCCATTTCACATCCTAATCTCAGTGTGCCTGGTTAGACAATCATGGTGATCAAATATGCAAAATGCTTTTCAAAAACTAATTTATATCATAACAAATGGACATTTGTATATGTGATCTGAAATTTATCTTCCATTACTATTGGGGCGAATCAAAGGAAAGTGTTTCTGTAGTTGAAACTGTTTAACATTGGCAATTTCATATGGTTCAACAACTACCCTACTTAAGGAACAATTGGTTTGAAATTTACATTAAGAATGACTTCTAGCAGCATATGTCAGGGAAATTACATACAAACAACTGAAGTGTCAAACAAAAACCAAGATATTTTATGGGGTACTAATGTCTTATTAATGACAATGTGAATTAGCATGAAAAATGAAAGGGACCTGCATTTATTGACTTCCTAATATATGCCAGGCAACACAAAAAAACTAAAAATCAAACATTATGAAAATTATTACACTAGCAAGGACACAAAAGGAACACATGTGTGGTCACACAACTAGTAAGCATACCCAAGTTCAGGACCACAGAGTTCCCCAGACACTTTTTTGCATGGTGGTGACTTTCTAACAAGTGTAAAGGCAATGCTTTATTTGCCGGGTCCACACTTTTACCCTGTGCTCATTTTCTTAAAAATGACGCCAGTTAATGTCATGACTCCTGGCACTTACTTGAGGAAAGAATTCCATCAATGAATTCCTGCCGGGTGATCTTCCCATCCTGGTCTTTGTCAATTCTCCTGAAAAAGTCCATCACTCGAGACTTCTTGTGATTCATCCACCGCATATATTTTTTGCGCCAGATGTCGAAATCGAAGTTAGCAAATTCCCTCAACTGAAAAGGATACAAAGTAACTGAGCTAGGTTAATGCTAAACTCCAATTGTATCTTAGACTATATTTCTAATGATTCTACAGGTAATACACATCTCTCTCCCATTTCAAAGAAAGGTATGATCTTGCCAAGGGGGTTCAGAAACATTTTATCTGTGCTGTTTATTTCACTAAGAAAATCCCTAAAAACTTAAAACTGAAAATTTCTGATAACAGCAAAGTCACAACAGTGGTCTGCTCCAACTTACCAGCACTAGTCCCATGCATACCGAAAGGCACAGACCCACTTCAATACTTCTCACCTAACTCCATGCTCTGTCTCACCCCACACTGTCAGCCACTCTCTTAACTTCTCTGGACATTTGAAAATTTTCCAGTTTCAGAACCTAAAACTCCCAATCTCAAGCCACAGGATATATTTGCCAGGCAGTACAACCAGCAAACATGTCAAGTTAGAGCCTTTCTTAAGAAGTCAGCTTCTCATTATTAAAGCACGAGAGTATTTTACTTTATTGATTGCCTAAATCCCGATCCCTTATATCAATTTTTTAATAAAAACATACAGTCTTGGTATTCATTTTAGAAGTAAAACATGCACTCAAGGAGCAAGAGTTTGCTAATATGTGAGAAGATTGCAATTTTGGCACTGTGTCACGGTGAATGAAGGCAGGGGAACAACTTGGCCATAGATACATGAGTTTCCATACCTCCTCTAGCCTGTCCAAGGCGTCATTGAGCTTTCTCCTTCTTTCCAATGCGAGGAGCCAGACTTGCTGCCATTTGCTCACCAGTAAGTTTACCCTGGGATTCTTAGTTTCAATTTGTGTTTGTGATCCAGAGGGATATAAGCTTGATGCTGGGAAGCGTTTTCCTGTAAAAATACACTTTAGTTAGGATGGCAAATTTCTAAGTGTTCTGATAGGTGGTAAAGCTTGGCCTTTTTGTTGTTCCTAGCCAGGATGAGTCAACTTAAAAACTGGGTAATGCAAGCAGAAATATTATAATTTAGATGGTGCATAATGTTAAGATCTAAATCTGTATTACTTATTAAGGATCACATACTGTTCACGTAAATTAGATTCATAACTTGACAGGGGCATTTAAATATTAGAAAGCTCTCTCTAAAAATTTATGCTTAAAACATGTTCCTGCTTCAAATTCATGTTGTTTCAGTGGTAATGCTGCACCCTGTGCTCTTCCCTATTGTTAAGGAGAGAGAAAGAAATCTCATAGGCAGACACACATCTTAGAATCAGTTATAGCAAACCCAGCTGTCCTTCTTAGAGAATAAGGCTGAAAGTAGAGGAAGTGAGAGCAGGACATACCAGGCAGTCCACCAGAGTCACAGCAAGTTGCTTTATTAATCCTAGTCAAGTGTGAAAGTATGTCCAGGACCCAAACTTTCTCCCAAGTCCATTTCCCACTGAGATTGTGTGTTTCCAGTGCACAGACTCTATCCAAGTTTCCTGAGTCACTCAAGTTATCTCCCTCTTCCTACCCATTCTTCACAACTTTGTATAACTTCACGAAACAGTTATTAATTGTTGCATTTTCCTCATTTAAATAAATGGTTAAATGTGTCCTAGAAAAATTACTGGTCCAAACTCCCATAGGATGTTAGTATCCAGGCTGAGATTTATATGGATCACTAGTATTTATTGAGTATTTAACTATAGGCCTGGAAGTACAATCAGCACTTTATAAAGATCAGCTCATCTAATTCTCAGTGCAGTCCAAAGAGGTTAAAATCATCCCCTTTCACAGAAGAGGATAGTGATGCTTAGAAGGAGTATAAATGATCTGTCTGAGGTTATGTCTCCCAATTGGTAAGTGGAGGGGGCAGCCAAGGAGCCTGCCTCCAGTGCTCTCAGTCACTTTACCTGGTCTCTTCCTCATGTAATACAGTACTTACAATAGCTCTGACCCCACTTAAAAAAATATGCAATACAAATTGTGCTTTTTTTTTTACATCTTCTCCAAGCTTTATTATTTTTAAGGTCATTTTGGGGGGACTCAGATTGTCTGAGAAGTAGTAAATAGAACCTGAAGTCATAAGAACATGGGCAAAATCTATCAGATTGCCGGTCACTAATGAACAATTAGATTATGAACTATACCCAGGTTATGATAACTTTTGTTTCATTCAACACTAGTGCTGTTTACATAGAAGAAAAATGACACAATTCAAAGGGAGTGAAGGTTTCTGTACTTATGAATTTTTCTAGTTTATTCTAGTTAATCTGAAAGATAAACTTCAAGCACAGAGTTAAATACAGAAAGCTAGGCAGAGCAATTTCTTTATTTTTCAACAAGTTGCCACAATGCTTGAGCCCATGTATTCTTTCAAGAAATCTTTTATGATAGAGTGCTCATCTAGAATCACTAAGTGCTCCAAAATTTCAAATGATGCAATTTTATTTAACCATTTTCATTTCAAAGAAATTGACCACTGCTTACTTCCAGTTCGTCCCTTATCCAAGACTGGAATATGGGATTGTAACGAGGAAGGATCAGCTCCTCTCCTCTTATAGGTCTTGGTGACTTTATCAACATCAGGCTGTTTTCTGGTCATTTCCTCCATGAAGGTCTGAAATGAAAGAAATGATGTCAATTAAATAAAAGTACATTAGATTAAATTATCATTAGGAATGAACAAAAAACAAGGGTCAAAGAGCCAGGCTATTATTTCTGAAGAAGAATAAATTACCATGCCTTACCTTTAAGTGAAAAAAATATCTAAATTGGCATAAGAAAGCATTTACTAATGTTCAAAGAATGCAAAGTGTTATAGCCAGCAAATACAATAAATTAAAAACAAAAATAATTTGTTGTAGTTCAAAGGCCAAATATAGGAGCAGTGTGAATGAAATAACCTATCTGTTCACCAACCAAGTTAAAGCTTTCAAGTTCTTCCACGAGAATTTTTTTTCCCCCATAAGAATTTGTATTGAGCATTTGTCCTAAGGAACACCCCAACTAACTGGTTTCTTTGAGGCACATTTCACCTACACATTTGGAAGACTTAAGTTGCCTGTGATATATAGTGATATAAGGTATCCACATTAACTGTAGATGTATTAAAGTCATAAGCAAGCTATTTAAAGGAGGGTGAAAGTGAACCGAGTAAAGATATATTACAGTTACATTTCTTGTCACTTCTCTCAGGCTTATTATTATTACTGACTAAATATTCTAATATCTGGAATATGTGGCAAAGGCTTGAGGTAAGGCAGAGACTGATAAAAAGTGATGAGGAAAAGGCAAGGCAGACAAGAGTGAAAAGGGGAAGTAAAACACATTTCTGGAATATTTATCACATTGGAAAGCTCCACTTGAATACCTCTGATACCAAAGAACACGACTTGAAACACTTAGGATCATTCCACATGTTGATACCTCAGATTTTCACCAAGATATATATAATAATGGCAATGTTGACAGCTGAACCCATTGGCTGACATTCAGTGTTTCTCCTGTAAATGCTATCAACTAAACAAGCTATAAATCAGTGAGTGTGATGCCCATCCTTTTTGCAATTAAAACAAGTGAGATGTACAGAAGAAATAATTTTTCAAAGACAATGCATTCCTTTTAGATGTGATATATTTGGAGATTTGATGGTCATCTTGGGAGATGGATAAAATGCCAAATAAAACAAGTACCAGTTAAAGCCAAGGATTTGAGTGAAACTGCCAAAAGATAGAGCAGACTGAAAGGAATAGAGGACTGAGGAAAAGATGCAGGAGAAAGAAGAGCTGGCACTGGGAAGACAAAGGTGGTGCAGGAACCACTGTGAGACAGTGTCACCTGGGAATAACTTCACAAAAAGCAAAGAAAAAAGGCTTTGCAGAAGTCCAGTGGGTAGCTGTGAAGAGGAGTTTTAGGCCCAGCTGACTGGAGCTGTGGAGTATGTGCTTAAAGAAGTGAAGGCAACAATCACAAAGCAATCTTTTAAGATGCATCACAGGAAAAGGAAGAAAACAGTGGAGGTGATGACTACCAGGGGTTAGGATTAAATTTATTTTACCTGGTGTTCTGCAATGAGGGCTTTCACCTCTTCAATCTCCTGGGGGATGACTTCTTTATCCTTATCACTTAGTGTTGTTTCGGCCCATTGCAACCAAGCCAGCAAAGCTTCCAACAATTCCTGTTTAGCAATGAGCCCAGCCAGGGCACTTGCCAATCTTTGCTGATGTTGCTTTGCCCAGGCCAGCACCTGTTGGAGAAACAGAAATTTCTTCCAACTTAGTGAATAATTATATTGATATACAATAAACACCTTTTTAATGAAAATAAGGATAACTCTGAGGTAAACCCAAAATGCTTCCAATCTTTCTAGTCCCCTTTGGTGGCATGAAGACCCAGCCCAAGGAGGTTAATGGGAGCTCTCTAGAATGTTTGTCATCTTTGGCAGTTTAAACCTGTCTATCAATCACCTAGGCTTTCTTTTGCTTTCTAATTTAAGTGCAAATATGCATTCTCTGAAGGATCAAATATGCTTATTCCATGTAGTACTAAGTGGAAATAAAAAATAGTTAAGGGCTGAAGATGCAACTCAGTGGTAGAGAGCTTGCTTAGCACATGCAATCCCTAAGTCCAATCCCCACTACCACCACCGCCCACCCCCAAAAAGGTGAGAACTGAAGTAGAGTTAATTTACACTATACTAATTATTTAAGTTAATTTAAATTATACTAATTCACTTCACAAGTATATATTGTTCTGAATCCTGGAAGTGAGAAAAAATGTTTTCCAATGAACCAAATATCAGCCTCTTAAGGTTGTGGGGACATATCTGCAAATTCCTTTAACTTTTAAAAGAAAATTGATTTTCAGAAACTCATAGTGCACAAAAGAAAGCATTTTAAGGAATAATTTCCATGGGGAGGCCTCACTTTCCCATGCTGGCAACTGCATCTTAATAGCTGAAATTTCCCACACCCTCAAATCTCTGAGCTACTGTTCCTGTGAAGATATCTGAAACATACTGACCTCCTCGAACCTGGCCCGGATGATTGTTATCCAGTGCTTAATGGTGGTGATGGAGTCAGGGTGGCAAATGGCCAAAACAGCATCACCCATACTGGTGGCTTTATTTAATTCAGCTCTTTTTTCTTCTAGTTTCTTCATGAATTCCTACAACAGAAACAGAGACTTCAGTTAGCTGTTGGCACTAGATGAAAACAAAACTCTGCTGCTGTTTATTTACTGTCAGGGTTAAACAAATAAACAGGAACTTCAATTGTTTATTCACAGTTGGAAATAATCCACTAATTAGAGAAGAAAGGGGGGAAATGATAAATTAAGTATTTTCTAACATGTATGTCAAAATATAAGTACAAGATAATATGTCATGCTTTTTTTGACAATGTGCTCTGATAACATGACCTACCCTTTTCATATCCTAACCTACTTTAAAAAATATTTTAATTTTCCCCAATAGAGTCCTTAAATGAAAGAGTAAAAAAAAATAACTTAGTAGGAAGAGAAAACCATAGGTCAATAATAACTGTACTTCCTGAGGAAACCAGAGAGATCACACACTTCTAATTACTCTATGCCCTCGAAGAGCTCCAAACCAGATGGGAGGGACCACTCCCTGCCACACTGTGCTCTTCGGATCTAGTCTCAGGGTTACCTTAGTGGTTGGTACTCACATGGGAAAACTTGACATTTTTAGAAATTGGATTATACTAAGAAGTCTTTAGTCCTGTGCCAAGAAATTAAATTACACAATCTGTTTTTCTTTGGTAAATGTGGAAAGGGAAGCAGTGAAAATGAACAAGAATGAATAATGTTACTGTAAAATAGTATTACTAATAAACACTTCATAAACTTACAGGTAATTCCATGCCATTTATTTAAAGATTTAGTTAAAACTATTATAAAATAATCTGTTGTAAAAAAAACACTCCCCCTGCTCTGGTGACTTGCTTACTAGTCCTACTGTGAGGGCAGCGATACCAACAGGTGCCCAGCAGATACTGCTACTCTGACACCCAAACCCTAGTACATTAGTGGACCTCAGTGCTGGTTGGTGGTCAGCTCACAGCAATATAATACAACCTAGATTTTTAAATATTGAGCTGAATCAAAAATTTATAATAAATTTGATGTAGTTGTCCTATTCTTTAAGTTAAGCCTCCAGATAATGTTGTACAAGTCTAGTGCACTTTTATTAATGACAAGGCAATATTTCATTGCTACAGGTTAGCCAACTCCTCTTTGAGAAAGGGTATTAATTATAAGGAGTCTCTTATAGATGATGTAATCCATGTTAAAGTGGAATGAATGATGATATAGTTCCACCCTGACCTTGAAAGGTAAGATTATTTAGTGGTGTTAAAAAGATCCTTTAAAGTTAATAGGAAATGCTGACATCAACACTGCTTTGAGTATTTGCACTGCAAAGTCCTGACTTAATGAGTCAAAGGTTAAAAAACATCTGTTAAGAGCAATCTGGACCATTCTCTTAAGAATCTTGTTAACTCCATGCATCGACATGGGAAAGATCTTGGCTTGAAAATTCAATGGCTGGATTTTAACTTGGTTAGTTATTCAACCATCTATTTACTTAGGAATTTCATTTCTTAAATTTATAATTTAAAAAATATAAATATACAATCCCAGCACTTACTTAATATGTTCTACAAAAAATTTTAAAAGGTTCTTGATTAAAAACAGAAGTCAGAGAGGCTTAAAAATAAAATTTAAAGACTTTAAATTTTATCTGTATACGGGGTAATAATGGAAGTTCATAACCATTCTGAATCAAATTGTGAAACATGATATATTAAGAAAGATGAATTGTTTTGAAAGACCAACAATAAAAAAATAAAAAAAAGACTTTAAATTTTACTAAATTACTTGTCTTATTTATAAACATCCAAATTATTGATTTGTAATTCTACTGGTATAATTTTATGAATGCCAAACTGCTCTTTGAGGAAGTTTCATTCTTAAAATCTACATAAAAGTGCAGTACAATGAACTAATTTGGGTAGGAAGCCAAATAACTCCCTAAAAAGATCAATGTGCTTCTTACAAGGCATGAAACACAGTGACTAATTCTAGAGTTACCACTTTCACTAATGAGGAAACAAAAAGACAGCTGCACATGTATGAATGTATGTGTATGGAGACACAGGTACATAAGCAAAGGATGGAGACACAATCTCAAATGTACCAGATGTTTATTAATTCTCAGGAAGGAAAATATTCATGTACTTGATATTTGTAATCCTGAGCCTACTTTATTTGATTTTTTCTCATTTAGTTTTAGTTTTACTGAACATTTAGAAATTACTCACTTTATGTTGATCAATGAGAGTCCGGAGAGCATCCTCATCATCTGGGAGAACACCATGGAAACGCAGGGTTTGCTCTGCCTCGGCCAGCCATTCCAAGAGGGCATGTACCACAGAGTGAAATTCTTCTGCCTAACGGTTCAGATAGACACACATACAGACAGACACACCAAGCAAGATTTCCAAATGTCTGTTAGTAAAATTTGCAGAATTGTACAGTAGATTCTTCCCCTCAATGAAAAAACAAGTCTTAAATTTAAATAGATTAATTATGTACATTACTCCCATTAAAGAGATAAAGATACCTTGTGCTGCATTTTACAAATATAAGAAAATATCTCATATACCAATGAGGCCTATATGAAGAATAATTCACCAATTTCACAACTTGGTTTTAAATGAATGGCAGTCCATTGTACGTTCAAGCTGAAAAAATTACTCAAGCAGCACTTTGAGCTGAAGATTAGTAAACCTCCCTTTGCAATTAATTTAAAGTCTTGAGAGAGGGCAGAGGAGAGGTCAAGGCAATGAGGCTACTATTCCATATTGAGAACAGAGGATCCTCACAGTTATTTACTAGAGCCATTTTTGTTGAGGTTTCAATACTTTTCTCATAACACCCAGTTATTATCTGCATGGTTTTTACCTGACGCAGAGCTGCTTCTAATCTTGTCTGCTTTGATATAGACAGGGCACACACAGTCTCCCAGCGCGTGCTTAATTCCTGCATCTGGACCTTGACCCAGGAGGAGTCATCCCGGCTGCCTTCTATGAGCTCTCGGGCTGAGCGCTTCAGTGCCTGCACACTGCTGGTCCTCTTCCCCAGTTCTTTTTGGAAAACCTGAGAAGAGCAAATTTTGTAAATTAATTTTAAAGCCTCAACAGTAACATGGGCTATCTGAAACATGTGCATAAAACAATACATACAGACACATAAGACTCACAGTTCAATAACCATATTTTTGACAAATCTTCAGAGGTTAAGAAATGACCAACTGCTTATAGTTGAGCACCAAGAATGCAGTCTTATTTTTTTAATATTTTCTTTTTAGTTGTAGTTGGACATAATACCTTTATTTTATTTATTTATTTTTATGTGGTGCTGAGGATTGAACCCAGGGCCTCACATGTGTAAGGTGAGTGCTCTACCGATATGCCACAATCCCAGCCCGGAGAATGCAGTCTTATATTTGTTTAATCTTGTAATATTTTTATGAGGGAAAAAAGATATGCATGCCTTGTTTTTTAAAATAAGACACTGGATTTAAATAATGGCAGTCAGGCTTTACTTCAATTACACACACAGATGCATCAAATTTCTTTTTTCAATGATTCTTTTGATAGGCTGTCCCAATTCCTCCCAAATTATTAGTGTGACTGCCACATGCATGCTAGCCACTGCATTACTCAGGGGACACAATGAAGAGACAAATGAATGACTAAGCAAGCAGTCCTGATGAACATCATGGAGGTCTCCAAGATAATGATAGAGAATCCACAGGGAGTTGGCAAGTAGTCTTTTTTTGTTTCTTTTTTATAGAGCAACTTTGTCTTCATGGCACCTATCCTAAATAAATTCATATTCATTCAAGATGATTCAATTTTTATTTATCATATTAGATGAAAAAGCTTTTAAGTTTTTTCCCCCCCTTCCTAATTTTGATGAACTTCTATGTGCCAAGCGCTAAGTTGGTTTCTTTTGGCCCAGATTTATCTAGGAATTTCCAGGATTCTTTATTTCTGATCTAAGAGTCTGTATATAAAAGTAGAGCTTTCAAATAACCAACCTTCTGTCTCCAATAAAATTAATTTATTTTTCAAATAATCCCCCCAAATGAACATTACCATTGGGTATATCTGTGTGTTTCTATTGAGACTCAGATCAGTCACAAAAGGGAGCCCATCCAAGAATCCAAACACAGTATAGTTAATTCTTTGATTTCACTCAACCAATGTTAAATGATATGTGTCTGCAGACAGACGGTACACACATATGTACTGCACACACGCACAATCACTGAAGGGACAATAACTAAACATTCCATTTGTGATGAAACTAGTCCCAACAGTTCTGATTAGAGTTTCCAATGTACTTTTATTGAAATTTCCTGAGCCTTCCAATTGTATTACTAATGCTAAATGATTAATTCATTCTTGGTGATCTTTAACATATAAAAAAATTGGCAAGTGTCTAGGGCAGTAAATATTTAGACAGTGAGTTTATAAAAATGGCATTATGTAAAAAGTAACATTATACTATCCATTACTCACTAAATGAGTTCCAAGAAATGGAAAAGTTTTTATTAATCATGCACAAAACGTTTGTTTCAATATAAGCAAAGCAATGTAATTTTTAAGATTTGTAATTTTTGTAGGCCTTGTCAATGTTCCTTATTTATTCTTTAATTTTCTAGTATAATAAAGTCTCTTTAATGGGTATAATCATAGAATAGAAACAGAAAAGAAAAAAAATATGCCAAAGAACCAATTATGTTAAGAAGGACAGGTAAATCAAAATAGGGAAACATAAAGAGAACATTTAAAAATGTATACATTTTTTGTACCAAAAAATCACAACAGGAATTAAGTCAGAGTGCTGTAAGATATTTGTTCAGAAAGTCAACTCTAATACCATAACCATTCTATATTAGTACTGTTTCATGGTGTTTCCAAGGTTAAGCTGTATTATATCGTTTGATCATAATTTAGGAACTTACACTACTATCAGCTGGGCACTTCAAATATATCTTTGCATGACAGTTTAACGTACAGATCAGGAGATTGCAAGCAAACCAATTATCTTGAAAAAAATAATAAATCCCTCATAGCACATGCTGATGACTCATAAATTGCTATAGTTCAAGGGACAAGGTTAAAACAGCTTTTAAAAAAGAAGGGCTTTAATCATGACCCCCACGGATCATGTCACAAATCTGCACATTTATGCAATGACCTAGTTCTGGGTCACTGAACAAATGATTTTAAATTTTATTATATAATTATTTAGATGAACAACTAAAGATAGTAAAACATGCTTGAAACGGGGTTTAAAGCACAAAAACAAAAGTATTTCACCAATAACTCAAGTAATTTTCCCCTATCACCTTTTTGGTTTTCGTTTTGGTACATGCCAGGTAAGTGCTTTACTACTGAACAACATTCCCAGTGCTCCCCAGCACTTTTTTAGTTGGCTTCCTGATTTCTGCTCAGAAGTACACAAATTTTAACAATAGTGTTGTACTATGACACAGTCTCCTGATTTTAAAGGGCTAATTTAAGTGGTACACACCCCTCTAGCTCAAAATAAGCAAATGAGATAAAATGCCCCAGAAAATACCTTGTGATTATCGATTAGATTCATCACTAAATCAATGTCTCCATGAACGGGCTGGTCTTCTGCCAGCTGGGGTTCAACCCTATACAACCAATCGATGAGGGCCTGCAGGGCATCTGTGAATTGTCCAGAAAATAGCAATGCTTCCTCCAATTTGTTCTGTCTGGGGAAAAAGGGTAGAAAAATTACTCTGAGAACAGAAAAGCTGCCTTAACATGTCTGAACATATGAAGTTCATTTATGCAGGGTGAGTGGTATTCAAGAGAAGAGACAATACATAGGTATTTACTGCTGTTTCTTTACTTTCCATAGAACATAAAAATTAAAAAAAGTTATAAAAGTTTTGTTATTACTTAAATATTCCTGACATCTGTTCCAGGAAAATTCCATTACCATAAACTTTGGAAATTTTTTGATTTTTTGAGTTTCTTCCTAAAAACATGCCTTCAAAATTTAAAAAAAGATTTTTTAAAAATTTGCTTTAGGTGGTCAGACAATAAACGTGACTGTTTTAGTATGCTGTTTTATGAATTTAAATACATGTACAGATTCATATTACCATCACCATAATCAAGATACCATTTCACCATCCCCAAGCCCCTCATGCTCTTTCCTTATAGTCACACCCTGCCCTGGCATTCACTGCTCTGTTCCTCATCACTGTAACTTTTTGCCCTTTCAGAAATGTTAGAACAAAATCATTTATATGACATTGCAAAAATTATGTCCTTTTGAGATGGAAGAAGATAAAAAAACTAATAAAAACTTATTGTGAAGTTCTGTAGAACTGAATAATCTTTATTATTATTAAGACTTGAATTTTGCCAAACAAACCTTTTGGAAATAAAAAAGTGAAAGGAAAACATAACATTTGTTAATTTACGAGTTGTTTGAAACAGGAACACTTTCTAAAAATCATGTACAGAAATTTTATTTAAAAAATATACATCAAAAAGCAAAGAACATAATATTCACATAAAAGATGCCATTCATCCCTGAAAAAGTATGTGCATGCACACACACACACACACACACACACACACACACACACACACACACAATTTGTATGTACATATGTAAAAGGGCAAAAATCTGCTAAAGGAGATCAGAAGGAAAATTCCAACAAAAAAAAAACCCTAAATTTTCAGGGGCCCTTATTTAATCTGGATACAGTTGAGGATTCCCTGATCCAAAAATCTAAAATCCAAAAATGTTTCACAATCTGAAACTTTGTGAGGAATAATGCAATGCCACATATAGAAAATTCTATACCATGACACTTTATGGCAGGCTCAATATTATTACAAAACATTACATCAGGCTATGTGTATAAGGTATATATGAACCAAAGAATTTCATGTCTAGATTTGGGTCCCATCCCCAAGATATCTCATTCTTTAAATGCAAATATTCCAACATCTAAAAAACTTCTTAAGTACTTCAAATATGGTATACTCAACCCTTTTGGCAAAAATAACTAAAACTAAGGCTCAACAGAAAGCTTAAAAACATTTACAAGATATTTGAACTCTTGTACTTTGTACTTAAGTACTCAAAATTTTTGAAATAAGTCTTGTACCTTCACAAAAGTGTAATGAGAAAGAGGGAGACTGGAAAGGGGTAAATGGAGGCTGAAGAGAATGCTGGGGCCAGATCAGTAGTGCCTTGCTTGCCACATTAAGGAGCCTATGTCTCATCCACATGCAACAGCAAGGCTCTGAAGGGCATGAAGCAGGAATGATAAGATCCCATTGCATTTAAATAAAAAAATCATCCTAAGTAGCTCCATGGAGGTTAGATGAAAGGAAGGATAAACCAGGTTTGGGGAGACCAGTCAGAGCAGTTTGTGTAGTCAAGTGTGAGATGACAGAGACTGGGGAAGGTATCTTTTTTTTTTTCCTTCTAATGAGTAGTTAAAAATAAATAAGAATGAACAGCAAAGGCTTCTCAGAACAGGTGCTCTGTGAATGGATATTTAGGACAAGCAGATGTTCCCTAGGCAAAGAAGTTATCTAAGGTCCCTATAATGTCCCTGCAAAGAACCACTAACTTCTATTTGAGGGAGGTCTACAAAGTAACCAAACTGCCTAAAGGACATCCTACTTTCTTTTTTGAATTTATATGATTGCAGAATGCATTACAATTATTATTACACATATAGAGCACAATTTTTCATATCTCTGGTTGTATACAAAGTATAGTCACCAATTCTTGTCTCTATACATATACTTTGGATAATAATGTCCATCACATTCCACCATCATTTCTAACCCCATGTTCTCTCCCTTCTCCTCCCATCCCTCTGCCAAGTACAAGCAAGGCACTACTGATTTGGCCCCAGTATTCTAGAGTTTGTCTATTCCTTCCATGCTCCCCCTCCCTACCCCACTATGAATCAGCCTTCTTATATCAAAGAAAACATTTGGCATTTGATTTTTCGGAGATTGGTTAACTTTACTTAGCATTATCTTCTCCAACTCCATCCATTTACCTGAAAATGCCATGATTTTATTCTCTTTTACTGATGAGTAATATTCCATTGTGTATATATGCCACATTTTTTAATCCATTAATCTACTGAAGGACATCTAGGTTGGTTCCATAGTTTAACTATTGTGAATTGTGCTGCTATAAACACTGATATGGCTGTGTCCCTGTACAATGTTGTTTTTAAGTCCTTTGGGTATAGACCAAGGAGAGGGATAGCTGGGTCAAATGGTGGTTCCACTCCCAATTTTCCAAGAAATCTCCATACTGCTTTCCATAGTGGCTGCACCAATTTGCAGCCCTACCCGCAATGTATGAGTGTACCTTTTTCCCTATATCCTCACCAACACTTATTGTTGTTTGTGTTCATAATAGTTGCCATTCTGCCTGGAGTGAGATGAAATCTTAGAGTAGTTTTGATTTGCATTTTTTAATTGCTAGCAATGATGAACATTTTTTCATATATTTGTTGACTGATTGTACATCATCTTCTGAGAAGTGTCTGTTTAGGCCCTTGGCCCATTTATTGATTGGGTTATTTGTTTTTTTGGTGTTTAGATTTTTGAGTTCTTTATATAGCCTAGAGATTAGTGCTTTCTATGATGTGTGAAGGGTAAAGTTTTGCTCCCAAGATATAGGCTCTCTATTCACCTCACAGATTATTACAGATTTAATGCAATTCCAGTCAAAAATCTGAATGACATTCCTCATAGAAATAGAAAAAGAAATCATGAAATTCATCTGGAAAAATAAGAGATTTTTATTTTAGCAGGAAGAGTGAAGCAGGTGGCATCACTATACCAGACTTTAAGTTGTACTACAGAGCAATCATAACAAAAACAGCATGGTATTGGCACCAAAACAGATTGATAGACCAATGGTACAGAATAGAGGACACAGAGATTAACCCACAAAATTAAAATTATCTTATATTAGACAAAGGTGCCAAGAACATGCATTGGAGAAAAGATAGCCTCTTCAACAAATGGTGCTGGGAAAATTAGAAATCCATATGCAACAAAATGAAATTAAACCCCTATCTCTCACCAAGCACAAACCTCAATTCAAAATGGATCAAAGACCTAGGAATAAAATGAAAGACCCCGCATCTAATAGAAGAAAAAGTAGGCCCTAATCTCCATCATGTGGTATTAAGCCCCAACTTTCTTAATAAGACTCCTTTGGCACATGAATTAAAATCAAGAATCAATAATGGGATGGACATCCTACCTTTCCACAGATTTTCCACATATGGTATCCCACTTGTCTCTGAGTTCACTCAGCATGTTATCCAGCTTCAGGTTGTCATCAGCTAGGGTGGTTTTCTCCTTCAGAGAACGGCCAGTTCGGTTGGTGGTATCGTAGACAGAATGCTTGGCTCCAAGGGATTTCTGAAACTCCTATATATTTAACAAGAAAACAATGTGCTTTTCTACTTGGACTAATAAACAAAATAGATAAAAGGCATTAAAGAGGCATCTCTGTCAAATGGAGTCTCTGAGCTAATATGAAGGGGAAGTAAGAATGGCCCCTCTAGATTCTCGTGTTTGGGCCCATGGCTTATGCCATTCTCACCATTTAGGAAGCCTATATCCTTCCTCTCTGGCTATACAAAGCCCTATCTATGTCTTAGAACATCTACAGATTGCTCTTTCAGAATCTAATGGCTACATTGCTAACATGACATCTATACCTTGCTGCCTTTTACACGGTTAGACTTTCATGTTTGTGTATGTACACATCTCTGTGTGTGGAGGGATGAGTTATATTCTTTCTATACAGCTCAATTATAAGCATTTACAGACCAGAGGAACTGTCTTTGCAAGCCTTTCGTAATCCTTTTATACATAGTAGGTATTTTATTGCCTGTAAAAGTTATACTTTAAATGTCCTATTACAAGACAAAATAGTATATTTTTAAAATTTATTTTGAGACAGGATCTTGCTAAATGGCCCAGACAGTTGTTGAATTTGCCTGCCTCAGCCCCTGAGTAGTTGGGATTATAGGCATATATCACCAGGTTGAATTTTTTTTAAATGTAATTTTAGTTGTAGATGGACATAAAAACTTTTTATTTTACTTATTTTTGTGTGGTGCTAAGGATCAAACCCAGGGCCTTACACGTGCTAGGCCAGCACTCTACCACTGAGCTACAACCCCAGCCCCCAGGTTGTTTCTTTATATATAATATATATATATATATTATATTATATATTATATATTTGTAGCTGAACACAATTCACTTATTTATTTATTTTTATATGGTGCTGAGGATTGAACCTAAGTACCTCACACATGCTAGGCAAGTGGTCCACCACTGAGCCACAACCCCAGCCCCACAAAATGTATTTTGAGGCAACTACATCTGGAAATTTTAAAGTATTAAAATAATTATAATATCATGCGATTTCTATAGTTTATTATTCTAAATGTTATTTTTTCATGCATTCTGAACAGAATGCTTGTGTTTAGAATCACGATATTGATAAAGGCTTTCTTCACAAGGTAAACACATAATAAATATTACAGCCGAGTATTTTTAAAAGACAAAAGTCCCCAAATGATGAATAAGTACAAAAGACTTCTTTGAAAATTAATAATGGACTACTATTAATTAATGGACTACCTTGAAATGTGTCTTGAAGAAATGGCTGACTTTGGCTACAGGCAATATGGAGCAAAATAGAGAATCTGTTAGATTAGTTCTGTGCATTTTCTTTATCTGGGATTCTCTATTATGCAATATACTTTCATAACACTACAAGTCCTCCATGTTCAAATTCATAAAAGGTATTCTATCTTGAGAAACAGGCTATTGTTTTTCCATCAGAGGGGAAGGATGGAAGGTGCTGTTCACTGTCACTGTGCTTCCAAGATTGGATGTGGCAGCTTCCCAGCTGCCAGCAGAACAAGCCATCATAAGTCCTCACTCAGCCAAGAACAGATGTTCAATGTGTTTCCTCCAGGCATCCTCTGGTCGTGACCCTGTGAGCCTAGCCCACCTGGGTGAAAATGATGGCTAGAATTTTCTGATGATGAACCTGACACTGCTCCCAATTTTTCCAGCCTTTTAAAGTTATCGTGTTTTAAGCAGTGATTTATCGGTAGATGCCTAAAACTGTAAAACTGTTTGCAAGAAACCAACTCTCCTTTTACCCACATCCTCACTCTCACGGTTGGTGATCACTTTACAAACAGAACTGTAAACAGACACAAATGCAAGAGTTGGGTAGCAGGGTATGTGAAAATCGAAATGCCAATGCCAACATTCAAACCACTACAAATCCTTTATGTGTTTTAGACTGCAGAGGAAGTCTAGTTTTATTTTATTTATTTTCTTTTTGGTAATGCTGGCCATCAAACTTAGGATCTTGCATGTGCTAAGCAAGTGCTCTACCACTGAGTCACATCCTTAACTCCCAGTTTTAATTTTGTATTTTTTTAAGCAATTAACTCTTGAATCATTAATATACAGTCACTAAAAGTAAAGACATTATTGCTGCCTGACTCACATCAAATGCAATTGGTTTTAAATTTGACATAGGTTCATACTGGGTGGGCTTTTTTCCTCTAGTGATGAATAAATACATAATCAAGTAAGAATCTAGATGTGATATTGAAATACATAATGATGTATTGCACAATATGCTTTTCTAATGACAGACCCACCTTATGCTGTGCAAGCTGTGTTTTTATTTTATCTGGATCATTGGCAATTTCCAGTTCAGAATCCAAACACTTTTCTGACTCTTCCAGCCATTCCATTAGTTTAGTCCAAGCTTCATGGAACTGTAAAAGAAATTCACATCTTTGTCCAGAAATTTTTGAATATACTGTATTTGATATCTAGCATATTTTAAAATAGAAATTAATATTAATGGACATATTGAATATCATTCATTCAAAAATTCCCTTGAAGAAGAAAAAAGTAAAGCTTTCTCTAGAAAATTACAAAATGTCTGGACAGTGCTTGGCATTTATGTTTGTACCCCATGGTAATTTTGTTGTAACCCATTCAACACATGGATATGAACAGAAATAGGAAGAGACCCAGTTAAGGAGCTCCAGGGAGAACTTCCTTTTTTCTTGCTCTTTATTTTTGCTCAATAATTAACACAGATTCTCAGAAAATGTTGTTTGGTCTTTATATTGTGTTGTAGCCCACTGTGGTCTCTTGACACATGTGGATTTACTTCTAAGGTGTTTAATTTCTTTTTTTAATATTTATTTTTTAGTTGTAGTTGGACACAATACCTTTATTTTATTTATTTGTTTTTATATGGTGCTGAGGATTGAACCCAGGGCCTTGCACATTCTAGGTGAGCGCTGCTCTACTGCTGAGCCACAACCCCAGTCCCAGGTGTTAAACTTCTAATGTGTTAAGAAAAAGGAAGGAAAGTGGAGGAGGAAGAATAAAGCTTGGAAATTGGTTTTTAAAAGTAACAAGAACAAAAAGGCATTGTATTCCTACTAACCATAAAGAGAATTCCACATCTTCATTTGTGCTAACAAAATTCTCATATTAATGCCTGTGTCTCACATACTGGTTTTATATGTACAAGCACGCACAATACTTCAGTTCTAACAAAATATAATTCTCACACTCTGGAGCTACATATTTGTGGTTTCAGCCAAGGTCTCTACTCTATCATATAGAAGAATTAGTAGGTTCTAATTTTAGATACCAAATTGTGAAACTGGTTATAAATTATTTCTTATAATAAACTAAAATGAACTTATACATAACAAAACTAAAGTAATCAACATAAAAGACTTGTCTACCAAAGAATATTAATAATGAAATAACAAAAAGACATTTATCAACATGAGCACAATCCAGGCACAGAACCACAAAGCTTCAGGGCCCACAAGAGATTATCTCATTACAAATCTGCTCTCTCTGCACATCCCTCCCAAAACTCTAATCAATTTAAACATGGAAAAAGAAAAAAGCCAAGCAGAAAGGCACATGAAATGCCAAAGTCAGAGAATTATGATCTACATTAGAGCCAAAAACTGAGATAGAATAAAAAAGAAGGAAATTAAAGAAACAGCTAGTTAAGGTGTTAGGTAGTTTGAGAATAAATAACATAGGTTGCAACAGCTGGATGCTAAGTTCACTAATATAAACCATAGTTTCTAAGGAGGGTTCTGCTTTCAAAGCTATTTTTAAGCCATATAAATAGAGGGAATGCTATCCATTTCCAGTGAAACAGTGGAAAATGTTTATGAAGTGAGTTAAATGAAATGAAACCAGGAAATTGATTAAGTGAAGAATGAAGAAAGAGGATGAGTAACTGGCTATTGGTACCAAAAAACCTTTGTAAATGAGAAGTTCCAAAATCAAGAAATACCTGTACTACAGGTGGCAATGTGCCACATACTACAGAGAAAAAAAAAAGTTAGGCTCAGAATTAATATTTTTAAAAAATTTTTTAGTTGTTTATGGGCCTTTATTTATTAATTTATATGTAGTGCTGAGAATCGAATCCAGTGCCTCACCCTGGTAGGCAAGTGTTCTACCACTGAGCCACAACCTCAACCCAAATTATTATAGTTTTGAAGAAACATTAGAAACTAACTCTGTTCCAAAGGCTTCTTTTTAGCACTGGACAAGTCATATCTCTCACTCAAAAAGAAACATATAGCATGTAATTCTCTAATGCAATCTGCCATTTCTAAAACTTTAAAAAAATTATCCTGATAGCTATAAACAATGAAACACTTGATTCCCATGACACTGTTATATCATGTAACTGAGCTTGCCTTAGGAAGACTGCCTTAGGAAGTACTTGGAAGTTAGTAGTAAAATAAAGTATGATCCCTTGCTCTAAATATGAGAGCGGAGACTGAAAAATGAAGGAAAAATCAACAAACACAATAACAAGATTTGGAGCTTCTTTTTGAGCTTTAATGATAATGGTCAAGGTATAATCAGTCTTTCAGGGCCAGGTCAAAAAATGATGTCAACATGCAAAAATAGGCCATAGTCTTTTCAGGAAATAAACAACGTGGCTTCTGATCGCCACACCTTACACTGCCCGCAATAAAAAGAACTTTAATAACATACATTTCAGTAGTTAGAACTGATCCAGTGCCAAATTCAGAGAATTTCTGTAAAGGTTTATTACCTGCTTGGCCCTCTTCCTTGCTTCATCCAAAGATCTTCCTCTTTCTACTAACCGTTGAACCACTTTTTCCCATCGACTTTGAACACTGATGAGTAGATTCTTAATTAGGACAACATCTTGTTTCTGACTAAAATACTTCAGGTGGGTTCCAGTTTTGTCCAGTTCTATTATCTGCTCTCGGTGAGAATTTACTTCATTGGCAAAAACCTTTCCCCCAGAAAAAAGGACAAAATTAGAAACAGGAGAAAAATGCTTCTGGTGTCGTAAAGCTCAAATTGTTTTAATGGTCAACAGAAGGTTTTCAAGCACCAAATTCATACTTTTCCCATGAAAAGAGCCCAGCGTCTGAAAGGAGAATGCTGTCCATTTGAGTCACTACATACCTTGTGCTCATCAATTTGAAACAAGACTGTGTCCAAGATAAGACTTGGCCGAGAAGCTACATTTAGGGTCTGTTCAGCCTGGGTGAGCCAGTTGATGAAGTCTTGGAGGGAATTATGGAACTCCATTGCCAAGTTGAGGGCCTCTTCCAGTTTAGTCTGTGAAGGCAGATTATTTAGTGTTTGATGCCTAAGGGTTTGGGTTATATTGTTGGTTTGTTTTAGGTTAATCATTCTTTGCAGATTCCTTTCCCTTCCACACTTTATGAATACAGTATCCATATTAACCACTCAGATTACTTTTTTTATAATGGGACTTCACTAAAATACTAGCAAATCAAACTTCTTTATTAATTCCATCTAGTAAGAAGTATTTTCCCACAGCTAGAAAATATTTAATATACATTAAACTGTGCTAATGGACAATTTTCTGATAGCATTACTCCCAGCATTACAGATTTCTTAGATTGTTGTTCTGAAATTTCTAAAAAGTGACAAAAAATTCATAATTTAACATAAATCGTAATCACTTTTGGATCAAATTTTTATGTAAATGCTCATAAAATCCAAGTAGAATCTCTTGCTCTTTCTTTGTTTCATGGGTGTGATTAGAATTTGAGAGTTTGATAATATTTAAAAATATCCCTGAATGACACTTGAGCTGTGATATGTTTTTATCTGTATTGTATAGATACCTCTTTATTCTCTTGTCAGCATACTAGGTTCAACTGATGCCATGGAACCCCATGCATACAGAATCCTTTTTAAATGTGAATTACAAAAAATTCTACTCTTGATAGTTCTAACTCAGAAATAAGGCAAAATCCATGCAATAAATCAACTAAAACATTGGTTCTATTATTTTAATCAAAGTACATACTTTCCTTTCATTGAGTTTGGTTTCCACTGATTCCCATTTTTCTTTCAAGTTATTTATGTCTTGGTCAATATTTGTCTCTGCAGATTCGGGGCATCTTGCAAGCATCTGCTGGCCTTTCTGCATCAGACTCTTATATGTTTCCTCTTTAACATCAAAGGCAGCACAGACTTCCTAAATTGAGATACCTTGAAGTTATATGACTTTAAAGAAAATAAAATCTAAGAATTCTATCTTTCCAAGATCAACAATCCCAAACCCCTCAACAAATATTCATTCCTCTGGCATAAAGAACAATCATGACACGCAGTTAAACGTTTTTCTATATTGAAATAATACCAAAACCTACAGCTATATCCAGTCTACTGAGAAATCTCAGAAATGGTGCTATTATTATCAATGCATTCTGCATGCCAAAGTTTGAAGCAATGGTTTTCATGTTGTCAAGAAATATTTCACAGGCTGGGATTGTATCTCAGTGCAGAGTGCTCACCTAGCATGTATGAGGCACTGGGTTAGATCCTCAGCACCGCATAAAAACAAATAAATAAAACAAAGTTATTGTGTCCAAAAAAACTAATATATATATATATATATATATATATATATATATATATATATATATATATACACATATATATATATATACACATATATATATATATATTTTAAAAGAAAGGTTTTACTAGCCAGGCACAGTGATGTGCACCTTTAGTCCCAGCTACTTGGGAGTCTGAGACAAGAGGATGGCAAGTTGGGAGCCAGTCTCAGAAACTTAGTGAGACCCTGTCTCAAAATAAAAAATAAAAAGGGCTGGGGTGGAACTCAGAGGTAGTGCACCCCTGGGTTCCGTCCCCAGTACAAAAGGGGAGAGGGGAGACACACAAGTATCTTCTTTTAACAAGAACAAGAACATATTTTCCAGCCTTCCGTGGTACTAGGTGAGAATATCATGCTTATTAAATAAACTTTAGATAGGGCAAAGGGTAAAGGAAAGGTACGGGAAGGGAGTGGGGAATAGGAGTAGGAAAGATGGTGGAATACAATGGTCATCAATACTCTAAGTACATGTATGAAGACACGAACAATGTGACTCTACTTTGTGTACAAATAGAGATATGAAAAATTGTGCTCTATATGTGTAATATAAATTGTAATGCATTCTGTTGACATATATAACAAATTAAAATAGAAAAAAACAATAATCTTGTATATTCTGATTTATTTTGGAGATTTTTCTTTATACTTCAAGGCCCAACAGTTTAAAATCTGTACAGGATTATAACATTATCCATTTGAGCTTATCAATTTGGGGGGAAATGTTGGCTTCTAAAAAATAACTTGACTTCTAAAACCTCATGTGCTGACACATTAATCTTTGAAATAAAGAATAGGTTCTGACTTAAAATTTTTAATCGATAACTGGTATTGTTTCTTACACACAATAATCTCTGCTATAAAATCATGTATCTTTTAAAGCCTTTTCTTATTTTATATAATATAACACCAGGGCCCACAAAAATGGTTAATCTGTTAATCTGAGACTAGAGCTGTAAGAAATCTGAACGTACCATATGGGCATTAAGTTGCTCCCTGGCCGTTTCGGGTAAACCTCCCAGAGGTTTGGATGCCAGCAGATGACGCTCTGTGTCAGTAAGCCACTGCTGTAAATCCTCGATTTCGCCATGGAACCCTTTGGCCTGCAGTGATAGGTAAGTTTTAAGTTTGAGCCACAAACACTGTCACTTTCACAGCAGAAAATAGATTCAAACAGTCCCAGCCTGCCAAGCCTCTGTCTGCATTCCCATTAAATCTGCCTGGCCCCTCAACTCAGCAGGTAAGAGTATTATGCTAAGAACTGAAGAGTGCCTTCTTCTTTACTCTGTTCTTTATCCACACTCATTTCTACTACTCTCCTTAAAGTATAAAAATTAAACAGAAGTCTGTGAACTAATGAAAGAAATCCATGCTATTTTGGTCTTGAACACTACAGACTAAATTTCAGTATTTAGTCTCTTTATTCACCTGACGTAAGGCACCATCCAGCTGCTGCTTCCTTTTTTCTGTTTTTTCCAGAACATTTTGCCAGCGTTGATTTAAAACTTCAAGCTTGTGCTGAAGATTGCTTGCTTCTTCTCCTGCACTTGATTCAATTAGATCATTTCCTGCTTTATTAACCGCTTCCACTGTGGACTGATGGGCTAATACGTCATTTTGAAGCACCTGAAAATATTAAGAAAACATCATGTTTGCCAGTGGTAACACACTGACACCACTTTTAACATAATTGTATTTTCTGTTTATGAGACATTCTGAAACAAAAACCTCAAAGCAGAGATTAATGTGAGGTTTTAAAGTGATGGAATTCATTTCACTTTATAGCTTTCCTAGATATAATTTTAGTCTACCAACACTGCTTGAAATAATTGTGTAAGGACACCTTGCCAGTTCTTCCCATTACAATGACCTTGCAACTGATGCACTACATATCTGGAGATTATCATGAAAGGTTCTAAATTTTTTCAATTTATTGAATCAAAATTAATTTTTATATCTTAATTACTTAATTTAGAAATATTTTTATATATTCATTTTCAAACATAAAATTATCACTTCTAAAATATAGATATTTTATAATTAGCTTTCTAAAAGGAAAGAAAGTAACCAAAGAATATTCCTTTATTTTCTCTTATTGGAGGGGCACTAGAATTAACTGCTAATTTCAAAGGAATGTAATATTGTAAGGGTCTATTATAATCCTCCCCTACGCTTACTGGCTCATAATTGGCAATGGTAAAGAAAAAGAACTTCAGCTCTCAGCCCATGTCAGATATCACACGTTTGTAGAGGAATCAAGATAGTGATTTCAGAGAAGGGCAGTAGCCATCTGAGAACACTGTTCTCTGACAGTATTCATTCATTTTCTAAGGCATCTGGTGAAGGAGTGTTTTCCAAAGGCTATAAAACCAAGTGAATAAGGAGTTATCTTTATAGAAAGCAGGTACTTTGATATGTTAATAGTAGGAATTCTTTCTCAAGATGGAAGAGTTAAATGTTCTTGTCCAAATTTAAAAGAAAATACTATAAAATGCAATCTTCTAAATGGTCCAGGTCTATAGGAGACTGCAGGAGAGGAAGGGGTGGAAACATTACCTTCCTTCCTCCAGCAACTCTGTTAGAATTCTAAATCTTCTAACTTTTGATCTTTGAGCAATGGAAAGAAAAAAGGAACCATTTTTAACTGCTCAAAAGATAGATAAACAAAACTAGAAGGTCCTTCCAGATCCCTCACCAAAACTGGATCTGTGCCTCATCTTTCCATCTCTACTATATATTTTATGTAGTTCATATCACTGATGTAGGTTACTTTTTGAAACAACTACCAGGTTAATGGAAACATAAATGCATCTATAAATTCACACTATGAAAATAAACATTTGGTTTCTATGAAGTTAGTCTCATCAGTCATTTTTTGCTTTAAGCAAAGGTATAATACAGACATTAAATAATGAAGCAAGCTTCTATGTAATCACTAATTATGCAAAATAATCCTAATTTCTTAATCAGATATAGCTGGTCAATGACTATCCATTTAGACAGGACCAGGCAAAAGAGGAGAAAGAATCTAAACTAGGGAGTTGTTCGCATGGGGAAAAATATGAAAGAAGGAGAACTCAAGAAAGAATAATCAAAAACTGTATCTCATTATCTTAAATGCTATTTTTTGCATTTTACATTTATTTTTAAAATGTTAATGAAAGTAAATTATTAAATGTTTCCTCTCTGATAATCAGGAAAACTTAAAAGTTCAGCTTCAGGACTTGGAAGACACTATTAGTAAGGTAAATGCTTAAGTCTAGGAAAGACTGTGGAATGTTAGGATAAACTTTACTGTGCATTTATAAAAGTCTAGTGATTCAAGAAATAGGGAATGATCTGCTGCTAAGAATTATCAACCAGTGTCACAAAGATGACAATGACATAAAATGATTTTGCATGAGTCTCTTAAGATTAACAACTTTCATCTCATAAGCTTCAAATCAAAAAACATAAAAAACTCCTTTAAACATAAATGTTTTTAAAAACTGATTTAGAAAGGAATATGACACAAAAAGCCAGTCAAAGATAAGAGTGACAGAGACAGAATGAAAAACCACAACATAATGAGAGATGTACAGACAGAAATCATTTAGATAACCAAGCAGGGTAAGAGACATTGAGTGGAGACAGGAACCAGAGGAAAAACAAAATCTGTGTCAAAACAACAACATTTTGAATCCCTGATTTTTTTCAGGCTATGCCCAACAACTTTTAAAAATAGGTGAAGTTAACACAATAACAGGTATAATTAAGAATTTTAATCGTTCATGTTTGCCATGAAGCTCCAATAAAATTTAGCCACAAATTTCCCATCTCTGCTGTATTTGATAACAACTATACTGAACAATGAGAAAAACACTGTAATAAGAGCCTATTAAGTAGTTTAATCCTTAGTTACCAATATCAAATATGAACTTGTATTAAAATCATAACCTTGAAAAATGCATAAAGAAACATACCAAAAACTTTGATGACACTAAAAATGCATAGAAAAGAAACATAATATGTAACAATAGCTACATACGTGATGCTTAGCAAGTTCAATTTCAATGGCTTTAGGGTCTCCTCCAACAGGTTTCTGTTCACTTAGCAAGCCCTCAGTGTGCGTCAGCCATGCCAAGAGCTCATCCAGAGCATGCTGGAAGTGACCCAGTGCTAACAGAGCACCCTCCAGCTTGTGCTACGAGAAAGCAGAGAGAAAGAAGATCCATCTATGAATGACCCATATTTATAAAAAAAGGGCAAAAATCAATTGTTTTCTTCTGCCGATAAGCACATCCCACTGAAAGCCCAATCAACATACACTGCCACATTTTTAGTTTGATCTTCTTTCTTTAAAAAATGGCATAAGCAAAAAGAGCTCTAATAAGAGAATCTGTCACTTCAAAAGTTTATTTCCATAATTTCCTGATTTTATTTTTAGTAATTATTTTACATTAATGCCTAAAATCAACAATGCTTAACTTCATAACCAAAGTCTTGGTGTTTACCTGTCTGTTGATAATTCTCTCATCCAGGCTATCCCATATCAATTTCAGTTCCATTAATGGGTCTTGAACTGTGTGTTTGTCACTTTCTTCTGTTACTTTTTTCAGCAAAAGTTCTGCTTGATGGTTCAGTCTTTCCATTTCTATCTGTTGTTGATAGGCCTCTGACTTAAATTGCTATTTTAAAAAAGAAAGATACAAGGGATTTTTTTTTAACACATTGGTAATTTTAAACAAACAAAAATCTGTAGTTAAATCTTTATTCCAATTCATATTTCCTATTGTAGGGAAGTGAGAAGGAATAAAAATCAAACATGGGATTAACTGATGGAAGAATACAGATAAAAAATTAAGGAAAATGTTTCCTCTTTATTCATTGTTTCTGGTGAAAAGATATTTCTATTTAAATTTTGATATTTCATTTTTGTTCTCTACAACAAAATGAATAAATATAGAAGTCTGAGCATATTCCAATATCTAATTGTACACTAAAAATGAGTTTGAAATGATAGAAAAGATGAAAATAAAATATATATTAACATATATGAAAACCAGAAAACAATGTACCTAAGAAACTCAGTATTTCTTGCTCTAAAACATACATGCATCTTGCATCCCCTGATAATTTTTTTTGTGGTTATGTTACATTCATTAATATTTAGTCATTCCTACACTTCATCCTTCGCTGACACAGAGGAACACTATTCCCTGACATGGTGCCTCTTATAATACAGACATGTAGTTAATAACCTTGGCTTTGCCAATCAACAGGTTAGAAAATGGTTGCTTGTAACAGAAAATTGTCCTGTCATAAAATATCTTCATAAAATATTTGAATCTGTAATAGTAAATAATGGCTAAGCAGTTCCTTATTTTTCTTTCAAACATATGAAAATAATAAGTAAATTACAGTGAGTACTTACTATGATCAAATTACTCAACCAACTTATTACTATAAGGAAATACTCTCATCCTCCATTCACACTAAGGACACAAAAATAGAGAAGTCAGAAAACTTTCCTGAGGTCATTTGACTAGCAAGCGGATGAACTCAAACCTAAACCTAGACAACTTGATTTCAGAGTTTTCTCTCCTAACCAGCTTACTATATGAAAACCACCTGAAATAAACACAAGGATCCAAAATAAATTCTCCTTCATCGCTGTAATTGTACATATAAAGTATATCATGTGCTTGCTATGTGACAAGGCAAAGTAAAACAAAACAAAATAATCTCAGTCTAACAATGGTAATCATAAAATTCTCAAGAAGAAAAATTTGTTTCTACGTGAAACAGTCTATCAGACTCAGATGAAAATGGCATAATTCTAAAGTCAGATAATTAATTATTTTACATCAAAATCTAAAGGACTTCGCTGATAGTGGTCTCTGTATGAACAATTAGGAAGGCAATAGCTGATTTTACTTCAGTAAATAACCACTTTGCAGAAGAATACAGAGAGGAAACAGTCCAGCCATTTTCACAGCTGGAAATTAAGAACCACAAAAGCAAGAATGACAGAGGAAAGCAGATGGAAACCAGTAAACATTTACAAAACATCTTGAAAAATTCAATTATACTATGATGTGTCCATTAATTACTCAGAACATATAAAAGAAAAAATGTTGCTGCATGTGTATTGGTGACACACTCTCCACACTTCACCATACCCCAATATGAGGATATGTGAAAGACTATACATCAAATCTTAAGAGTAATTGCTTCTGGGTACAATATATTTTAGGAAACTTAGAAAAATTGTTTTTTTTCCTTTTAGCTTACTTGTATTATCCTACTTTCTATAATAAACAAAATAACAAGAAAATAACTAGTATATTTCCTTTTTAAATGAGCATTTAGCTACTTCTTACTCTGTGTAGGCACTATTTTAAGCCCATTTTAAAACCAAAATGTAAATATGTTTCATGTTAGGAATCTGATGACTTGAAAACTTAAAAATGTAGTGTTAGGATATGGTTCAGTGGTAGAGCATTTGCCTAGCATGCATGAGGTTGTGGGTTCAATCCCCAGCATCAGGAGAACAAAACAAAGAAAAAATGCAGAAAAGTCTTTGGTAAATGATGTGGCTGCCACACATACCCACCTTTAGCTCTTCAATCTGCTGCTTGACAGTTTCAAGGTCTGTTCCAATTGGAGACATTGAAGCTAATTTACCACCTGCAATATCGACCCAGTCAAATACTGCCTGAAAGACACATTAGTGTATATGTTAATATACTAGTATATTTGAAGGTGCTACAATATCTTCTGTATTTTAGAAAAGTCTTAACTCACCATTTTTTTTAGGCACTAAATATATAAAAAGTGACACTGTGCTTTAATGAAGTTCCCAGACAATACAGTGGGGGGAAGATCTTGAAAAATATCTGAAATTGCTGCCATTAATGAACCCTAAGAACTTAAACAGCAACTTGGGAAATAAAATATCTTCTACTTCCTAATCATACCTCGGACCCTCAGAAGTACCTGGGGACTTCCATATCTATAGTGACACTAGCTGCAGGTCTTTAATGGGGGTCTTCCACTTCTCCTGACACCAGCTGCAGGTCTTTAGTAAATCCAGCTGCTCCTCAGGACCAATAGGACCTTCGATGGCCCTTGTTTTTCTAGCAATGGAAGGACTCTTATGACTGTCCCTCTAGTCTTGGAGGACAATGCAATTCAAAGATTCACCATCATGGCCTGACCTTACCAACAGGGCTGGAGCCTGATTTAATTAGTACTCAATATTAACTAATAAGTTATCACTTTGTTTAAAAAAAAGATGGGTGGAAAGTTTTAATAAGGTGTTATTTGTAATGATTTTTTAAAAATATTTCCAAAGTTCAAAACCCTTTTCAGCTAACATAAAGCCTGGCTGGTGATATTTATTTTTACAAATATAGAAATGAAATGGCATAATGAAAAAGGAAAAGATGTTCTCATCTGAACATTAAAAAGAATATTCACTCAGTGTTATGGAAATACTTAGAGAGAGGTTTTTTCCATATGGTAAGAGGGATCAAAGATTAAACTCCTGCCAGCCTGTTAGGAAATGGAACAAAGTTAAGGAAGGTAGGGAAGAAAAATCCCTGAGTTGGCCTCCACTGAAGAGAATTTTGGGTATTGAAAACACCAATTCATAAATGGTTAATGAACTGATTGACAACCTTGAAGAGACGTGAAAAACAACTATTAAAAGAAACTATATATATGGAAAAGAAGAAAACACTTTTTACAAACCAGATTATGACTTAACAAAATGGAAATCTATTTTAGTACATGGAGAACATTGGCTTCAAATCAAATTTCTTTACTTCTGACTTTAGTTAAACTTGGTGATATTTTTAGATAGTGTTTACTCCTTTCATCTCATTCCACTCAACTTCAGAACAAAATTCAGTCTCAGTTTCATTTCACTGTTTGGTGTTAAATCATATATGAAAAATTGTGTGAGGGAATACTTATGTTCACTTTAAAAAAATTAAAGTATTTCTTTTTATTTTTTTTTATTGGTTGTTCAAAACATTACAAAGCTTTTGACATATCATGTTTCATACATTAGATTCAAGTTGGTTATGAACTCCCATTTTTACCCCAAATACAGATTGCAGTATTTCTTTTTAAAGTAAATTTCACTACGTGTTTAGATACGCATTTCAATCTATACACCTGGAAGGTCAGAAAAGACATCTAAAAGGCCAAACATGAACTGGAGTAGCTGGGACAGTTACAGGAATAGATCTGGCCACAACTGCATGCACACTTGCAGTCTTGGGTTGTGCCAATGTGTAATTTTGTAGACATCAACTAGTATGATGCCTCCTTCAGCTAAAACCAGCAGACACACTGTAACCACCTTACCTGCAGTCCATCCTGGTACTGAACCGCAGCCTGCATGGCCTCCTCGAGCTTATCAATTCTGTCTTTCCAAGCTTTATTTAGAGAATCCCACGCCGAATTTAACTATGACATAAACATTATAAGTTTTTTAGGGTCAAGTTCAAAATTTTTAACTAGTTGTTAAAATATATTAGTTAAAAATATTTGAGTTAACTAAACTGTTACAAAGGCATCTGATAAGAGTAGAAACTAAGTCAGTTGTACCTCATCGATACTCTTCTTGACGATGGGTTTATCAGGTTCCCCACATGCAGCAATGAGTTCGGAACCCAGGTTAATGACCATGTCCAGCTCTTCCTGTAGCCCATCTATTTCTTCCCTTATGGCCTAGAATAAGAAAGTGACAGCCTTACATGTTAAGCAAAACCACCCTGAAACTAAAATGATGTATACAAAAGATACTGATGGTAATTATTTCTAGAAAGTGGGATTATGATAATTTTTATTTTCTTCCATTTCCTAAATTTCTGCAATAAATTTTCTCAACATAAAAACAAGAAATATTTTAAAGGAAAAATGGCATCATTTAAATAACAAATGCCACATTTTTATTTTAAGAACACTAATAAATAATAAATACTATAACAATACAGGAACAAATTTTGAAAAACATCAGCAATATTGTAAAGTGTAGGAGTATTTTGTTTTTCAAACCAAATATGTCTGACAACAAGCATTTAAAATAGACTTAAGGAAAATATAAGCTCAAAGACTTTATACAAATTAACATATGTTAGTAGATTTAGGGTAAGCAAGCTTTGGATTTTTTTTTGTCTTTTTTTTTTAAAAAAAGACATTTTTAATGTCTTTATTCTAAGTATGACTTATAAACTACAAAAACATTATAACAGAATTGAAGTATATTATCTTTGCTTTTATCTTCTTGGTTAAATATATATTAATTAATTTAACAAATATTTAGTAAGCATAATACAAGCCCTAAGGCACTGGGGATATTAGATCTAGTTATTCCCCTCAAGGAGCTCACAGTCCATCAGGAAAGACAGAGGTATAAGCAACAGTAAGTCAGACTATGTGTAGAGTCTGAAAGTTTTATGGCAACAAAGATGGTAACTTATTCTTAGCAGATAATTCTGCTAACTATACAAAAATAGAGTTACATGGGGTAGGGGCAGTAATAATTGAGCTTAAACTTGAAGCTTGAATAGGATTTGTCACCAAAGTGGCCAAAAGAACATTCTAAGGTAAGGAAATAAAGTGTGCAAAGGCACAGATGGATGCTAGGAAAAGCACAGGAGTTTGGGGGGATGACCCTTTCTAACTACTGCAATTGAGGGAATCTGGTAAAGAAGCATAGAATAGAAGCTTTTGGAAATAGGCCTGGGCTAAGCTGGGCATAAAAAGCTGCATACCCTGTTCTAGGAAATTTGGGTTTTATCCAGTGTGCAGTGGGTACCTCTGAGGGTTTTCAAGCAGCAATGTAATAAAGGCAGATACAGAGAGATGATTGGCAGCAAGGTTAGAGGCTTGGCAATTAAAGAAACTGTACTGTGTGTTACTTTGGAAGCCAAAAGGGGAGATAATGAGGCCCTGAAAAGGCAGAAGCAGTAGAGATGGAGAGAAATTATTTTAAATATGCAGTCTCCAAGCAAAATTTGTGGGTGTATTCTATCTCCTACCAATCTTATGCATTCTATGTTCAGACACAAATATAAAATTTTAACAGAATAATATTCCTAACATATACCACAGGAATCCAGGTTTCATTATGCCACACCTATTTTTTTTTTTTAAACTTTAAATGAGATTTTCTGCTTACCTCTGCTGCTTCTTGCTGTTGTTTTACTACTGAAGGATCAATTCCAGGATCCTCCAGGTCCCGGATGAAATCTTGAGTATCTTTAGTGGTAACTACCAGTGACATGTGATCACACCAGAACTTTTCTGCTAATTCCATTACGTCCAGGAGTTTAGCTTCTCTTTCTTCCACCAATGTGTGTATGTTCTCCCAAATGAAAACCATTTGGTCAAGTTTATCCTGAACAGCTATGAAGCCAAACAGTATTAGCATAGATGTTGGCTAGCTCCATTGAAGCAATAAAGCAAAATGTTTTAGCTCACACAGAAAGCAGCGATTCAGTTAGCTAAGTATTTAACACTGGACTAGGTCTTGGCTGATTGTAGTCTGATCAGTATCACTGGGCCCAAAGATCCTATTCCAGCTAGTGCAAGATCTATGGGTCTCTTGCTCTGCTGAACCAAGGCTCTTCCTGAAAAAAGTGGATACTCAAAGCTATGTAAACTCAGAGTATACCCAAGTTTAATAAGTTTTAAGTTTGCTGAGCCTGGTCAAACTTTCTCAAAAATTAAGTAACCATGTAAACATTTGTTATGCTCTCCAACTCAAGAATAAAGTTATCTGTTTAGTCTCAGGAATATAAAAATGTAGGATGTGTATTTCTGGCTTGCTTCTAGATACCCCTATCATGAATTTCCACTGTGCACAAGCCCAGCTCATGGCTTTAAGTTGGATGGGCTATGCTCTTGCCATTTCTGTGGTTATGGGACAGAGCAAGCATACTAGGTAAAATAATAGAATCAGGAATGAGAAAAAAATTATTTAAAAACCTTGGGTTTGGCCTTATTAGCACTATGCTTTAGCCTACTTGTTTAAAAAGGCCCAGGGATTACATGGTCTTTGTATAACGGCACAGTTTGTATTCAATTTCACAAATGCAGGAAGACATTAACGAGGGACTTGTATACCCAGCCCTTCCACCCTAAACACATATCTGTAATGCCTTTTCTGAGATCTGGCATTCTGTTATGCAATTGGACTATCAGAGAACAACATAAAAACTGAGAGTTGATTCAAAAGCATAGCTGAATTTTTCAAAATGATTACCTTTGGCAGATATGTCTTTATCAGTGCCGCCAGATCTAGCAATCATTTCCTCTCCCCTCTGTTTAAGAGTTTCATACAGTGGTTGCAGCTTTTCCATATCTACTGATACGTTCTTATTCTCACTGATCTGCTCCTTGATCTTCTCCACCTCAGCAGAGATGGAAGGTGGCTGCCTCAGGCGCTCCACAATGCGCTCCAGGCTCTCAAGGATCTGGTCGATCTTGTCATGGAACTAGTAGTACAACAGTGGGATCATTTGGGAGGAAACAGATCTGGGATACTAAGTGTGAAATTTAAGTGGAAAAAAATCCACTTAACTTCTTTAATTAAGAACTAAATGTGAATCTCATTTGTCAATATATCCATTCATAGAGTTAGATACAGCTGGTATATTAAGTCATGCCTAAAATCATGACATGTATATACACTTCTGTGTGACATACACTATGTAAGTAGAATGGACTTAGTTTCTTTTAAATAATTGAGGGTATTCATTAAGAATATATTATCATAATATATTATGATAATATATTAATGAACATATAACTGGATCACTGGAAAGCAGCATCTATTTTAACCTGTTACTTCATCCTGTTATCACAATTCAAATTTTAAAATTTATATTCAATAAACTAGATATATGTCTATCAAAACTGATTGTTTTCTTCTTTTCTAATGACTATTTTGGTATTCTAAAAACCTATATTATTAAGTGTGAAATTCACAGACAATTTTGATTTAAAAGATTCCTTAAGTTACATATTTGCTAAACTGAAAAATGTCAAAAAACTAAACACAACATTCCACAATGCTGTATCAGAAATTTGGTTTTAGTGCTGGGGGTATATAGCATATGCTTAAAATGCACAAGGCCCTGGGTTCCACTCCTAGCACCAAAAAAAAAAAGTAAACAAGTTTGTATTTAATTCATGGTCAAACACAATCTCAAATTTGAGATAATTTTAAATTTAAATTTTTTTTTTCTTTTTTTCTGGTACCAGGGATTGAACCCAGGAACACTTAACCACTGAGCAATATTCTCAGCCCTTTTTGAAAAACATTTTATTTGAAGACAGGGTCTTGCTGAATTGCTTAGCACCTCACTAAGTTGCTGAGGTTAGCTTTGAACTAGTGAACCTTCTGCCTCAGGCTCCAGAGCCACTGGGATTACAGGCATGAGCCACTGCACCCAGCTAAATTTGTTGTTTTTATATTAAGCAAATTTATAAAAACTAGTCCATTCACAAGTTCTACTTTATTTATTTCCAACTTCGTATTTGCTTCCTTTTTATTTGGCTTATCATTCAGCCTTCCCTCTTAGTGCCTTGAGAATGTTTTATTAATAATGACAGTAATACTTTATCTCTACCAATGGCAAATGCTACCTTCCACTTGAGATGGACATGGAATTAAATATCTGACAATGAGAGTGACTGTATGTTTCTTATTCACTGAAAATTATCTTTTATTGTGTCTTAAAGCAGGCACAGAAATATAAGGGCTGGGCACAAGCAAACACCACCTTTGAGAGACAAATATCCTGTGTCAATACCCTGAGTTAGTGGAGTGAAATAATTCTGGTTGAAATTTAATCAGGATATCTAAGAGGCTTTCCCTGCTTTGCTGTTTGGGAGGGTGGACCCAGTTCTATTTCTAGTGTACACGATTACCTGAGTTGATTGAGAAATGGCTTCATCCAGTGCTACAGCTCGCTTTTTGACATCTTCTTTAATTTGACTGTAGAGGGTGTCGGCTGCCACATACTTCTCTTGGATAGAGAAGCCTTCCCCTGGGCTCAATTCCAGTAACTGTGGCCCAGTCTTGTTCATCTTATCTATATGAGGCTTGTGTTCGGCTATCAACTCTCGCAGTTGCTATAACAAACCAAACAGCTTCTCAGTATCTCAGAGTCACACCTCCATATTACAGCTGTCCACACCCCCAATGCATCCAGCTGGCAAGAAACACCAAACAAATGCTCTCCCCACAGCAAGGCATTTAGCACATGATGGCTCATACAACTCTTTGCCAGGAAGAGATGGCCCTGACACAAATATTAAACAACAGTCTAGTCATGCCAAAGCCCCTTCAAGGGTACACACACACAATTGCTGGTTGAGTGAAATAATGATCCCAGTTCTTTATGTACTCCATGCCAATAGCAGTACACTTTGACAAAGCCAAGGGTCATTTTATGTGAAAGGATACTAATCTCCTATGTCCCTGCAGAGACCAAACAATAACTCTTGATGTACCTCTGTATACACTTGTGATATGTACAAAAATAGGGAGAAAGGAAAAAAGAGAATGGAAAGAAGCTCAGTAGAAGGCAGACAGTGTTGAGAGTAAAAACTCAAGATAAAAGCACATGAGGGTGATGTAAGCCCACAAGGCACTGCATTTATGTGAACCAATATAAAATGGATACACATTATACTGTACACGTATATTAGAATCTACTCTACATATATATGACATAAACATTATACATACATATGAATGAGTTTATTTCTATTCACTATTTTCAAATGTTAAAGTTGTAAGGGTAATCAACCTTTCAAATACATAGCTATATATTGTGTAAAAGGTGCATTTAAAGAAAAATGTGTCCTAGGTATATGTTGCATAATTTCATAACCTACACAAGAGATACAATGATATTTATATTAATGAATGGAAGTGGGATCCAGGTGGAGCCCCATTCCTGCTGATGGAAATGATGAATTGGAGGCTTGAGTAAAGCTGCAATATTTATATTTCATGGATCTTGGGTTCTTAGTGGAATAGTTTTTTTCATGAGTCAAGCCCCAAACCACTCCCAGGGGAGTTTTGCCTAGTTTCTCTGAGGCCAGCCTCCATGCATCACTAAGGAGCATTCCATATGTCCATGTGATAGACTGGGTTCCCTCATCAGCAGTTTCTTGTCCTCAACAGAAAGTACATCTCCAAAGAGTTTGCTATCCAATCCCTAATAAGACCTTCTCTGAGAGAAATCATATTCAGGAAAGACTGTCTAGAGATAAACTAGCCATTCTTTTCTATACATTTAAATTTCTATTATTCATAAAGTAGAATCACCAGGATGGACATAATTGGGTTTTTATTCAAAGTGTCCGCTGAAATTAGTATTATGGATAATTGTGAGAACTTGTTGAGGAAATCAGTACATTACATCATCAACTATCCTCCGTGTAACATACTATTTTTAAAGTTTAGGAAAGAGCTAAACAGGAATTCAATTTTAAAAGGAAGAGGATGTCTAATTGAATATACTGCAAGTAAGGACAAGGGAGGCGTAGGCCTACAATCCAGCTCCTGAGTGCTCTAGGATGAGCTTTCCTTATTTTCATTTCATATAATCAAATCATCTCTTCCTGCTGCTTGACAGAATGGAGGTGGTGATGGCAATACCAGCTATGATAAAATCAAATGGGAAAGGAGAGCTGGAGACATCACACACATTCTGGTTTCAGTATTCCACAGTGCATTCTTGGAAAACAAGTGCATACTCAGAGTGAAATGCAAGACCTTTGCTGAGGTTTCTCAGGCTGCCTAGAGATCTTATCTGTGCAGTACTACTAAGAGGTGACAGCCTGGAGAGCATGAGAAGAGCCTTTTGCAGACCATTCCATGACACACAAGAGAACACCCAATGGATGCCCACACTTGGGCATGTGTGGGCATGAGGTTGGCAAAATGATCCGGGACTCCAGTCCTGCTGGAGATACTTCATTGTGATTTTAAGATATCTAACTCTTGGTAATAAGGCCCTTGGAACCAGCTTTTATTACAGACAAGAATGAACTAGATCTTCCCCCAAATCAGAAGGAGAGATGGTGAAGCTGAAGAAATGCCATTCTAGAACACTACAAATATTCTGAGAGCTTTTAATCTGAACAATCTGAAGACTTGGCTGCAAGCCTTCATACTTTTCCTTATATATACAATCATAAATTTTTTTGAATTTAAAGATTATGCAAAAAAGAGAAATCAACTCAATTTTGAAATTGTCAGCTCCATAATAGATCCTTTCTTACCATCTGATATTATGTGAAAAGCAGTTATTAAAATCACATCAGAGTAAAATAAATCCATGAAATAATTTATATTAAAAATCATTCTGTGAATAGTCATCAGGATTTCCACCACAAAAATCCTTCTACTAAAATTAAATCTGATTCTGTATAGTTTCTAAGTTTTTCTATTGCTGAATGATTTAAACAGAACTCCATGAAATTTTCATTTTCCCTTAAACAAAGTGTTCTCTAAAACTCTTTTCTAAATAAATACTTGTTAGAGATAGTCTTCCATGCTAGTATATTAAAATAGTAAACAAACAAGTTAATAAGTTATTCACATATTACAAACAATGATGTAATATACCCTGAAATATACCCTAAGTTCTCTCTCTTCCTTTCCTTTCCCCACCCCCACACTGATTAAGTCTCAGAGTACATTTTGTACAGATCTGGGAAAACAACTAGGTTCACAAGTCCATAAATAGCAAGGACTCCAGATTTTATTCTGAGTCTTGAACTTTCTCTCATACAAATCTTTGCAAAAGTTTAAGTGACATTAATAACTGTTTGCTAAAATGAGGGCTTCATAATGCCATTTCACTTATGTTTAAAATACATATAATTGTAGTTGTCAATATATTCCCTAATATATTCATCTACACTTAGGGGAATAAGAACTTCAAAGAGTTCCATGTACACGGGGGCTGGAGGGGGGTGATATGTCTTTATACCTCAGCATATTTCCTTTTCACAGTTTTTGATATTGCTATTTGGATATATTTCATGGTACTGTACATTTTCTCTAAGCTGTATGAAGCCTCTTCCATACAGTTCTACTTTTCCTTTATAGTCTAGATGGCTCTGACCACTACATAAAAAATATAAAACTTAGTCAACATGTACAAATGGAAAGAAATTTAGCATGTATAAACTTGAAAAAGCACTTCCAAAACTTATTTCTCTAGCATTTTGAAAAGGGAGTTTTTTCCCTACCCAGATGGTTTTATACTGAGTACTCTTCTATAAAAGTCATGATGCAATTAATGGCACATACAGCATGCCCTACCCACATGGGGCCTTCCATATAATTCTGGGCCACAGGTTAAACCTTTTTGAGGTAAGAAAACTGTGTAGACCAGAAGACGATATTATTAAGACACTGTAGCCATGTAAGATGTCTAATGGCATTTTCAAAAACCTTCAAAACCATGATGCTTTTTTAGTGGGAATATCACATTTTCTTTCACCCTCAGCTTACCCGATGTTCTTCCTGCTGTTGCCTTAGAGTGTCATACTCAAGGGCTGGGGCAGGAAGCTGAGAGATGATTTTTTGTGTTTCTGTCAGCCATGGCCAAAGTTCTTCATATGTCTCCCAGAACTGGTTAACCAGGGACTGTGCCCGTTCTAGCTGCAGATACCTCTCAGAGTTTATCTGGCAGAGGGAATCGTAGTTCTTCAATAACTTGTCCAGTTTTTTCTAGAAAATCAGATGATAAAATATGTTTAATTGTCAGGCAGACTAGTACCTGTATTCCAGTCTACTTTGTCTAGCACTGTACACCTGGCATAGAGAAGATACACAACAAATGTATATGAAATGAATAAACCAATAAAAGCTATTCTAAGTAATTGTTTCTGTGTACAAAAGTTCATTCTAAATTCAAGAAGGACTGCCAGTTTTTATGAATAAGATACTAGCTCTTCAAACAAGAAGTAGAATTCTCCACTCATTCCTATAATGCCCTTGAGGCTAGAAAACAACATATACAGTATTTTCTTGAAAAACAAAAGACTTTCCTTTGCAAATGAAACTGTAAAAATTGCTAATCAACAAATTAATTACATATATTAGAATCCAAGTTGAATATTGTGCTACACATGAATTTTGTGTAGCAGTCACAGTGATCTTGACTATGGTATAAATTCACAGTAAAAACTCATAGCAGTTTAAGGTCTGGTATAGCGATGGCACCTGCTTCACTCTTCCTGCTAAGGATTGCTTTAGCTATTCTGGGTCTCTTATTTTTCCAGATGAATTTCATAATTGCTTTTTCTATTTCTATGAGGAATGTCACTGGGATTTGGATCACAATTGCATTAAATCTGTACAGTGATTTTGGTAGTATGGTCATTTTGATAATATTAATTCTGCCTATATAAGAGCAAGGTAGATCTTTCTGTCTTCTAAGGTCTTCTTTGATTTCTTTCTTTAGGGTTCTGTAGTTTTCATTGTATAGCTCTTTCATCTCTTTCATTAAATTGCTTCCCAAGTATTTTATTTTATATTTTGAGGCTATTGTAAATGGGGTAGTATTCCTCATTTCCCTTTCTGAGGATTTATTACTGATATACACAAATGTCTTTGATTTATGGGTGTTGATATTATATCTTGCTACTTTGCTGAATTCACTTACTAATTCTATAAGTTTTCTGGTGAACTTTTAAGGTCTTCTAGATATAGAATCATATCATCAGCAAATAGTGTTAATTTAAGTTCTGCTTTTCCTATGCATATCCCTTTAAATTCTTTCATCTGTCTAATTGCTCTATCCAGTGTTTCAAGAACTATGTTAAATAGAAGTGGTAAAGGAGGGCATCCCTTCTTGTTCCAGTTTTTAGAGGGAATGTCTTCAATTTTTTTCCATTTAGAATGATGTTGGCCTGGGGCTTAGCATGGATAGCCTTTAGGATGTTGAGATATCTTCCTGTTATCACTAATTAAAAAAAAAAAAAAAAAAAAACAGCAATGGTACTGGCACCAAAACAGACTGGTAAATCAACGGCACAGAATAGAGGACACAGAGACTAACCCACAAAATTACAATTATCTTATATTAGACATAGGAGCCAAAAACATAAATTGGAGAAAAATAGTCTCTTCAACAGATGGTGCCAGGAAAATTGGAAACCCATATGCAACAAAATGAAATCAAACCCTTCTAACCATGCATAAGAGTCATATGTAATAACAATGGTTTATACTGATAATAATGATAAAAACACAGTTAACATCAATCAAAGCTTAATGTGTGCCAGTTAGCCAAGAAACCAAACTTTAATAGCTTTTACGTTTATTAAAAAAGATGGTCCTCTTGGTCATTCCCTGTAGGAATATTCCTTTCATTGTTATTCTGTAAGGTGAAAACATGCCTTATCTAAAACTAATGAGTTTGCTGTTTGAACAGCAGCTGTGGATAAGTCTTTTGTAGCCTTAAAGCTCAACACATGCTGCCTATTTAAGAGTCTCAACACCAGTCACATAGAAAAAATTATACCTTCATTGACTGTTTCTCCTCTTCACTGGATGTGCTCATGATTTTATGTCCAGATTTAACAAGTTCATCAATAATATCTTTATGTCTCAAAATCTCCATGGTGAATGTCTGTGATTTACCAAATAAAGATTTTAAAGAAAAAAGAAACAAAGTTTGTAACTAAAAAGAAAACAATTAGGCAAAGTAGTTGAAAATACCAAGTAACACTAGAGGGGTCTTGAAAAGCAAATCATGCAAGCTTATTTCCTAGACTTGGAGCACAGCAGCAAATAATTTACAAAGCAACTGGAAATGTATCTATTCACCTTTTGAACCTGCAGCTGAGCAGAGGTCTGGTCTTGCTCAAGCCTAATGTCACCCAGAGACATCAATTTCTTCTCTGTTTCAGTAATCCAGGATAACTCAGCATCAGCCGCTTGGTCAAACTAAACAAAAGATAAATCATAAGGTGAGCAAGTTCCTGTAACTGGTGCCAGAAAAATACCTATCTACATTTCTTTTAAATATCCTTATTACACAAGTGGAGACTCTGAGCTTATCTCTTCATGGCATCCTGAAATAATTCATGAGAATGACTGAGTCATAAAGAAAGGAGAACTTTCCATAGAGCAATTAAATATAAGCTCTTAAAATGTGTTGAAGTCATAACACTACATTAATGATTTTAGGACAGTGAGTCTCACTGCCTTCTTTCCTGGTGGACCCAATCATTTGCTCCTTAGGAGTATTATCCAAATGTAACATCAACAGACGTAAAGGGCCAGATACCATCTTTAATTACTCTGTCACCTTGACTCATACTATACCAGGTAGCAACCTGCTGTAAAAACACATGATTCCTAAGTAAAAGAATGACATATTCCCATGTACTACTATACTATATCTATGTGTAGGAATAAATGTGCAGATATATGTCTCAATGTATATACAGTGTACTACCAAATTTTTCTTGTATAATTTTTGAACATTTCATTTAATAATGGCAGGAAACATTTTTGAGAGAATTCTTAAATATTTTAATAAGATATTTTATTTTCCTGATCCTACTAATGATTCATGGACATGGTAAAAATTCATAAAGTACAGAAAAATATACAAAAGAAAATTAAAACCTGAAGCTAATACTGTTGGTATTTCAGTGAATTTTCTTCCAGAAGAAAGACACGTAAAGGTCTAGGATAATATACCCCACTTTTTTTTATTTATTATGAACAACTTCCCAAGTCATATTTTTCAATGTGATTTTAAAATAGCACCAATGTATTCTAGCATACTCAGACATTTTCATTCAGGCTCTCCATAGATTTTTTGCTATAAGTATACCTGTATGAATATCATATGTATAAATCTTTTGGCATGTCTAATTAGGCTCTTGGTATAGATTCCTAGAAGCGACTACCAAGTCAAAGAGCATTTTAATTAATTTCAATGCTTACATTAGATAAAACACAACACATTTCCAGACTAAGAAATTATCATTGACAATATAGTAGGCAAGTGACGCCGTGCGCACCAATGGTGAATGGTAATTAACAACAGCCTCAGAATTAGTGGGGAATGGATGCTGTACGTATTCAAGCCCAATTCTCCCAGAATTTCTGATTTCTGAAGAGAAGCTGGAAATCCAGATGGGGTGGGGGAATAACTAGGAGAAGGAAGAGGAAAGACTGGAAAAGAATTTGTACTTTTCAAACTATACAATACTATGTGGACTCAGGAGATGATGGAACAGCTGAACTTTTCCTAGTTCCACATGATAAGTACAGTGTCTGCGCATTACATAAAACACACACAGGGATTACACAGAGGGAGAGAGAAGAGGGCAGAAGAGCTGTGGACCCTGGACCCTGAGGAACACCATGGTGATGAGTTTTCTGGGATTCCTTTGTGCTCACCTATCCAAGACTGGATGCTAGAGAAACTAGCAACCTAGACACATCAATGTGCACAGACAAAGCCCCAAGACAAGCCTGATATCTCTAGTGAAAGGACAAGGATAAGGGCAGCCTAGCAAGTCAGAAAACTTAGGTAGTTACCACTTTTTTCCAACCAAATACCATGGGGAAAAATGTTGCCCCCAATTCTACTTATATCAAGAAAGCTGACCAAGGACACTAGATGCCCATCTTCATGAGGCTACAGCAAGGTTCCCAACATCTCTGCCAGGGTAATGTTAGAGAAGGCCAAGGAGAGAGGCAGAGACCACATGCAGATCCTTCCAACCCCAAGCAAACAGCCATGAGTTGTGCCGGTTCTTGTCTCTGAAGTGCGTCAAGGCATGCCTAATGGAAAGAGGGGGTCCTTAACTTCACTCACTCTTGAACCACTGTGGCTAATAGGTATCAGTAGAGACCACATGGGGAGCTGCAACTCCCAAACCCACCCAGCAAAAACAATGGGGCATCCCCTGAGGTGTCTAGAGAGGCTAAGTGATGAACCTGGACATCTACTCTCACCTGGCCAGCTCTTATGCCAGAGTGGAATCCAAAAAAGTCCTTAAATCAGAAAGTTAATTTTTTTTTGAGGCTACTGAAAATGGGGTAGTTTTCCTTGTTTCCCTTTCTGAGGATTTGTCACTGATATACAGAAATGCCTTTGATTTATGGGTGTTGATTTTATATCCTGCTACTTTGCTGAATTCATTTACTAGCTCTAGAAGTTTTCTGGTGGAACTTTTAGGGTCTTCCATGTATACAATCATATTATCAGCAGATAGTGCCGATTTGAGTTCTTCTTTTCCTATATGTATCCCTTTAATTTCATCTAATTGCTCTGGCCAGTGTTTCAAGAACTATGTTAAATAGAAGTGGTAAAAGAGGGCATCCCAGTTTTTAGAGGGAATGCCTTCAATATTTCTCCATTTAGAATGATGTTGGCTGTGGGCTGGGGATATGGCTCAAGCGGTAGCGCGCTCGCCTGGCATGTGTGCGGCCCAGGTTCGATCCTCAGCACCACATACAAACAAAGATGTTGTGTCTGCTGAAAGCTAAAAAATACATATTAAAAAACTCTTTCTCTCTCTCTCTTTTAAAAAAAAAAAGAATGATGTTGGCCTGGGGCTTAGCATAGATAGCCCTTATGATGTTGAGATATGTCCCTGTTATCCCTAGTTTTTCTAATGTTTTGAACATAAAGGGGTGCTGTATTTTGTCAAATGCTTTTTCTACATCTATTGAGATGATCATATGATTCTTATCTTTAAGTCTATTGATGTGATGAATTACATTTATTGGTTTCCGTACGTTGAACCACTCTTGAAGAGATACTTCTCAGAAGATGATGTATCATCAACAAATACATGAAAAAATATGCATCATCTCTAGCAATTATAGAAATGCAAATCAAAACCACTCTTAAGATTTCATCTCACTCCAGTCAGAATGGCAGCTATTAAGAATACAAACAATAATAAGTGCTGGTGAGGATGTGGGGAAAAAGGCATACTCATAAATTGCTGGTGGGACTGCAAATTGGTACAGCCAATATGGAAAGCAGTATGGAGATTTCTTGGAAAGTTGGGAATGGAACCACCATTTGACCTAGCTATTCCTCTCCTCGGTCTATACCCAAACGACTTAAAAACAGCATGTTACAGGGACACAGCCACATCAATGTTTATAGCAGCACAATCCACAATAGCTAAACTGTGGAACCAACCTAGATGCCCTTTAATAGATGGATTAAAAAAATGTGGCATATATGCACAATGGAATATTACTCAGCAATAAAAGAGAATAAAATCATGCCATTTGCAGGTAAATGGATGGAATTAGAGAATATAATGTTAAGTGAATTTAGCCAATCCCAAATAACCAAATGCCAAATGTTTTCTTTGATATAAGGAGACTGATTCATAGTGGGATAGGGAGAGGAAGCATAGGAGGAATAGATGAACTCTAGATAGGGCAGAGTGGTGAAAGGGGAAGGGAGGGGGCATGGGGTTTTTAATGATGGTAAATGTGATGATCATTATTATCCAAAGTACGGGTATGAAGACATAAATTGGTGTGAATATATTGTATATACAACTAGAAATATGAAAATTGTGCTCTGTATGTATAATAAAAATTGTAAATGCATTCCACTGTCACATATAAATAAAAAAAAAGAAAAAAATCAGAAAGTTAAGATCCAAGAAATAACTTCATATGAGAACCAGAAGGATATCAAATTGAATTAAAGAAGATAATCAAACAGATGCTAGGGGCTACAGTTGTAGCTCAGTGGTAGAGTACTTGCCAAGCATGTGTGTGAGGCACTGGGTTTGATCCTCAGCACCATATAAAAATAAATAAGTAAATAAATAAATAAATAAATAAATAAATAAATAAATAAATAAATAAACAAACAAACAAATAAAGGTATTGTGTCCATCTTAAAAAAAAAACAACAGATGCCAATATCTGGATGGCAGAGATGATAGAATTATCTGATAGAGATTTTAAGTCAACCATGATAAAAATGCTTTTGACAACCATTTCTGGATGTTCATGGTTGAAATAAATGAAAAATCAGAAGCCCTCAGCCACAAAACAGAGCCTCCACAAAGAAATGACACCTAAAGAACAAATGGAAATTTTAGAACCAAGAAACATTGGAAAATAAAACAAATGAAAGGGGCATAGATTTTTATTTTTTTATTTTTATTTTTTTAGAGAGAGTGAGAGTGAGAGTGAGAGAGAGAGAGAATTTTTAATATTTATTTTTTAGTTATCGGTGGACACAACATCTTCGTTTGTATGTAGGGCTGAGGATCGAACCCGGGCCACATGCATGCCAGGCGAGTGCGCTACCTCCTGAGCCACATCCCCAGCCCCTAGACTTTTAAATATTTGTCAAATTTCTAGGTGGATTTCTTTCATTATAAGGAAACCACAAAACCTTCTGAAAAAAAAATCTCTCTTAATCTGATTCATACTTTGTATGACATTGTTCATTTTCAAATTGAAGTACTCATTAGTAATTACAGATCAATGAGGAAACATAAGAAAAACACTTCATGGACTAATCCAGCAGCCTCAGGTGTGCATAGTCCCCATGGGAAAGAAATGAAAGAGTCTTCTAATATATTATCTGTTTTCAAGGCACACACAATACAAATGCAGGCAGAGCCTGACTATGTGGTTCACTTAGAAGAGTCTAAGACTAAGAGAAACCATCTGAGTCTTTCCATCTCAATGTAAATGCTGCAAGAGATCTAAGTAAGATTTAACAGTCATGATGTATTTTTTTCTTCTATTGATCCCGGAAAAAATAAAGCGACACATCACTGAACCTTCTCTGTTTGTGTTCAAGCTGTTAAAAATATGACATTTATAATACGGAAAGTCAAGTTGTTGTTAATATTAGTTTAACATGATGGCTTCCCTTTAAAAAAAGAAAAGTACCCAATGAAAAACAGTCTGATGATACCATCTAGGTTGCCAAAATGGAAAGCTGAAACTCAAACACTGTTTCTTTAATGAAGTCAAATATTTGCTTTACTGAAAGAAAACAAGGCTTCAAGCAGAAATTTCCCTTCTGCCTTTTGAGAAATCTAAAAAATTAAATTAGCAAATATTTATTGTTAAGCAGCAAATGGAACAGCCACAGGGATATGACTCATTCCAAATGACTGGTGTGTATTTCTAATGGGCCAAAAAATGGACTCATTTTTACATGTGAGTAACACAGAGAACAACTGTATGATTACCAAATTTTAATAACTTTGTTTACTGCTTGTATAAGTAGCAAAAGTTGACTTTAAATAAATTGTTGATAATCTTGGTACCTTTTTTGAAACTCCATAATTGCATTCTGGGCAATGTTTTAACATTTAGCATCTTTTTTTTTTAACCTTAACTATTATGTTGAATTCAACATTTCAGAAATTTCCTAAAAGTTACTGCAAGCCACTTTTAAGAGATTCTCTTTATTAAAAAAAAAAAAAACACTAAAATCACAGCATTCTACTGAACACATTGTTCTCAGTGTTTAACAATCAGTAGCTCCCTTTATCCTGACAACAAATACATAATGTGGGAACACCATTAACTTCACTTGCAGCCAAGAAAACTGAGGAAGAGAGACATTAATTAATTTATCAAAGAGGATACAGATAGTAAATGTTGGACCTAAGGTTTTAACCAGGTGGCCTGAGCACAGGAACTGCACTTTATCTCCCAAGTTATACAGTCTGTGCTTATATATTATTTGAGCTTTGAATTCAAAATGCTCTTGTGATTTCACCAAAAATGGTTCACAATAAGCAGTAAGTAATAGGTTGTGACTTAAACATTTCTCCAATTGCTAAAATTGTTCATACTTATTCAGAAAGTTTCTAATGAGTGGTAATAAAGGTCTTTAAGACACAGCAAAGAGCAGACTTTGAACCCAAGGGCATCCTCTCTCACTCCCTTCCTCTGGCTTGAGATCTTACCATTTTCCTTTGATTAGCGTTTCCTTCCACTTTACTTTTCATCTTTCCTATTTTCACTCCCTGAACACCTGGAGGGTCTAAACAAATCTTATTTCCGTAGGGGATGCTTCCTTCTGGTTTTTTAAAAGAAATAAACAGGTGGTATTTTTCTCCAAGGCAGATTCCTAATGACAGGAGCTACACTACCAACCCAGAGGCCTCGGCACCAGTGTTATTACAGGGCCCCCTTACAGAAGCTAAGCAATTAGAATTGCTGGAGACCCTCGAATTCCCAAACCTAGTGAGACACCACATGTAGCAACTTCTGACAATTGTACGAGAAGCAATGAACAATGAACTACTCTGAGTTTAAACAATCACAGTGGTCTTAATTTAGGAGATATCTAAGCAAAAGTGCCTTTACCAATTTCTACAGAGCTCATTTAGTTCAATATTAGTTCAATTTGCAATTAGAGAAAGAAAGCAATACAGAAAGGCTAGTTTGTGTGGGTTTAAAGTGCAAAAGCATGTACAGTTTCTAAAGCAGAAAGTGGCAAGCACTGCTAAGAGAGAGGCAGTCTAGCTCAATATTACTATATGCTCTGCCCAGATTGTTTCCTAAAAGTAATGAATGGGCCCAATTATTTTAAACAAGAATAACCTCTTCAGAATACCAATGTCTGGAAACTTGGAGAATCAGATTTGGGGGATTTGTTGACCCGAGCACATATAATTCTCACTCATTTGCTCATTTGTGAGATGATAAGCTGAGGTCAGATCATGTCCATATTTTATACGAAGAAGAAACACATAATGATAGATAATTTGTTTATACAACATAAGATGGTACCAAATATGTGGTTAACATTCAACTCTAAAAATATATTTTTCATCACTCCTTTTATATTTCATGAATATTTATCATTGGGTGAATCAGAAAACAAAAACTTTAGTATCCAACTGTATTATGGTCCTTATTCTAAACAACTATTATTTTATACAAGTTTACAAACTAATGTTAGTGGTAAATTTGCTACTTTCTAAATTTGAAAATCATGAGTTTTGAGGGTTCCCTCCTAAGTGCAAAACTGAGTCACTGCCAAACTAGAAACAGGCAACTACTCTACTCTTAACTCGCCTGGAAAGTGATGTTCCATGATCCTTAAATGTTGCCTTGTCAAGTTTCACTATCCTTATAGTTGGAAATATTTTTATTAGAGGCTTCCATTTTGCTGGAAAAAAATGGCACTTTCTTCATATTACTAAAGAAGTTAGAAAAGCCATGGATGACTTTTCAGGATTCTTCCTATCCATATGATTCATAAGGAGGCACTCTAGTGAAGAAGAGGAGATCTGGATTAAATTCTAGTTCCAACTCTGCCACTAATTAGCTGTAGGACCAGGAAAGTTGCCTCACCAGGTATTGTTCATACACATGTTCCTCTCAGGTTTAGACACCTTTAACCTTACTGTAGGGAGTTCATTGGGCAGATTTACAGGTATTCCAAAGAAATGCAGATATAAGCACACAAGTGTACAACCAGAAGATTGTAATGGCATTATTTCTAGCTGTGACCTACCAGTAGTACAACTTTTAGTATTCCCAAGCACACACTCTATGGAAAGGAAAGGGTGGAAAGACATACAGTCCAAACTGTTCACACATTTTTTAATGTGTTTTTTGTAGTGCTTTAGTAAAATCTCAAAAATTCCTGTAAAGAATAGTTTAAAGAAGAAAAAAAAAAACACATACACACAACAATCATTATTTTCCTGAAGGACATATGTTTTAGGTTCCTGAAGACTTACACTGACCTGGTTACTTTTTCTTTGTTAACTTTGGAAAACATTTGCAAAACCTTGAATAAAATTAGGCTACTGCTAATGGTCTTGACAAATATCAGAGCATACTAACCAATACAAATCAGTACTAACTCAACTTCTGACCTTACCCTTATTACCATCTCATTTCACTGAAATGACCTATCCTAATTTCTCAAGAAAGTCTTATTCCACAGGGTATGGAATATTTGTCTTACTATTTAGCAAAGTCTTCAGTGCCAGTTCTGAAATACTTAGATACATTTCAGTGGGGAAAAAATATCAGCATTTTAAAAAGTTAAATAAATTTCACAAACACTTATTTTCCTATAATAATGAGGCATACAAATTCCTCAAATGTTTTTAAAAACAGAGTCGGGCAAACACATTCCTCAGGCATGAATGCCCTCCTTCACAAAAATTTCTTAGACAGGGCTTTTGCTTTTGTTGTCTTCCAGCAGCTTTTATGAGTTTAGATCACAGTACCAAAACAAGGAATGCAGCATTGTACTTCAGAACCATATAAATTACACTTTTATGGCAACAATTTACAGCAACAATTAATTTTCAATGCTCCCACAGAATCTGCGGGATTTGTGTTTCCTGCCTTTGACTTATTAGTATAAGCTTAGTCACATACCTTCCCAAGCTCTGCTCTTAAGTACCACACTAGCCCCCACATGGAAAATTTGCAACTAGTCTGATGACTTAATGTAAATAGTCACAGAATTTCAAATAAAAGTTAATCATGACACGTATTACAAACTTCTATTTCCAGGTTCCCCCTCACTGCTATCATATTCTGGAACTGTGGCTAAGGGCAGGGTATCTCTAAAACCATAGAATATAAACTCTGCATAAGCCGCAGACAGGTCAGAGGCTATAATTTCTTCCCCTTCAGTCATCTTTGGAAAAAAACTCCACATCACCAACAAAACTGTTACTTTTATAAAAATGCATTTTTTTTGCCACAGTTGCATATAAATGAACAATTGGTATTAACTTGCATACAAACTCAGTATATTTACTCACAAAAAGATTAGACTGAGTGGAGGCATAAAATTAATATTAGCGATAAGCATATATGTAGGCAAAAAGCATTCTGTTTGGCAAGCAGGGCTGATCTTCCCAGTGTCTGGTGTGGAAAGGGTAAATCTGGGAAGCATTGGACAGATGGCCATTAACAATGTACAGATTAGCCTTGCCCTAGCACTCACATGGAGCCCAGTCAAATTCTATTCAAATCCACTCTTTCATTTTTGAAGTACAACAAATGAATGGAAACACTAGTAACAGACATCTTTGTTCAGGTAAAGGCTCTGGGAACAGCTGGAGAAAATTTATTGCTTAGACAACAAACCACTTGTCCCTACCTGCTGTGATCTCAGAATGGCAGCATCAATCTCCTCCACCTTCTGGGTGATGGTGTCACTCACTAACCGGTAGCGTTCATTGTCCTCAGCCACCATTTTCTCCAGTCCTTCCCTTGCCCTCCATGGTAGCAATTCCAGCAAAGCACTGCTCACTTCATTAACAGAATCCAGTAAGGTTTTGTTGTTCTTGGCTTCCTTTTTCAGTTCCTAAAAACATACAAATATATGGGTATAAGTGTGAACAGGTTTTTCTTTCCCTTAACTATTTTTGGGGTGATGGTCCTCTGTTGGCCAGTGAGTCTACGCTTTGGCTCCCTTAGTTTTAGTTGGGTGAAAAAAAGCTTTGTTATTTAAAGCTAACTTTACAAAGAATAAAAAAAGCTTCGGAGAGAAGTTCAAAGAAAAATTCACTTATCAATGAGGCAACATTGAGTCTTTGAAATTTAATATAAATATATTTAAAATCTAGAAAACAAAATCAAGCCAATTAACATGTATTATTCTTTGCTTTCTGGAAACCTCTAAGTAATCAGGTAACAGAAAAAGTAAAAATAATGAGTTTAATGCAAGTTAGAATTAAGTGACCTTCAAAATGAGGACATACAGGTATTAAATCACTCCACTTGAGTCATTATAGTCTCAGTGAGCCTGACCTCACTGACTCCCTTTTGCCCATATGTGATCATACTTCAGGGGTGAGATAAAAGAGGCTGCTATCTCTGAAAAGAAGAATAGCCAGCAAAGCAGTGTACTACTATGTGCTATAAACAGAAAACCCGCCCCATGCTACACATCTATCTTATAGAAATGTTGTTATTCTAACCAAATGACATGTCTCTGAAATAGTGATCATTTCCCTCCCCCCTCCCGCCCCATCTTTATCATTCTGTCTCTTCTGTAATAAACTATACTCCAAACATAAGTCTCTTGGAGTAAATTATAATGTGCTGTTTTCATCTCTAGGTTCCTAAAAGTTTAAAGGGTTGATCTGCTGCCAATGTCTGCTGGGTCCCTGCCTACCAAGGCATCCTTCAGCATGTTAGAAATGACACAAGGCAAACATAATTTCATTGCTGTGTGAATAAGACTCCCTGAAAGAGGACAAGCAGATCCGATATGTATAAACCAGGGCATACTTTTTGTCTCACTTGTGCTTGGCTTGCTGCTTCTCCTTTCAGATCCTGAGTCTCATATGAAAGTAATTCCACCTCCACTTTGTCCAGCCAGGTACACAGCTCTTCATGCGTGCAGTGCAGCTGCCCTGAAAGCTGCAACGCCTGCTCCACAGTCTTGGCTACGTCGGTGCTCATCGTGGTAATGTCTTTGTACTTTTCTTTAAGGGCTTCCAATTTGTCTTGAATTATTAAAACTTCATCACCTAAAATTCCAAAGATGTTATTTTTTATGAAAAGGAAAAAGAAAGGTATGTGTAGGGGGTGGGGTTTCTTTGGATATCATTGTATAATGATGAAATTTTCTTGGGAAAAAAGAAGATATTTTTACAAAGACGAGCAGACCCAAGAGAGCCCTTAATGAGGTTTTCATCTTTCCCAGGATTGATGGCAACTCTGATCAGCTGAAAAAATACGAAAGCAAAAATGGAAAAGGAATATAGTGCCTTTAGTTATGTGGAATTCAGCACCTTTGCATCCATATTATAATACTTTTAGTAATCAAAGCACAAGGATGCAAAATCCTTGTTCAGCTCATTAAGTTCACAGACTTCATGACTTTGAAAGCTGAGTTACTTTAGGCAGGATACTTAACTTCTCTGTGTCCTTCCTTATCATTATTCACTGGCACCATTCTAGTGGACCCTCACCTGCCTCTATCTCCTTTTTGCACACACAGAAATTGTGTCCTAGGTTTCAGACTTCTAATTCAAGTATCTAGATATGATATTTCTTCTACTTTTAATGAATGGTAATTGCTCCCTGTACGCATGCTGCTGAACTGGATACAGGCACTGGGAAACCTTCCCATGGCCAAAGGAATCACTGAAACAAGTTTGAGTTGTTCCAAAATTACCTCACACAAATGTTAAACCAAGTGTTTGTGCTCTTGGTGATTCACACATGGAGAAGTTAAGCCTGTGTATTGCCACAACATGTGTCACTGCAATGCAGTCTACCTTAAAACAACTGTCTCCAACCTATGTGTTCATCTGCCTTCTGCAAGTGGAAAACCAAGGTAACTCCATTGTAGGCTTCTCCGACTAGGTCCTGTGCCAAAGTGCTTTAGGTCATGAGTAATACACAATGTCCATCAGGAACTCAAGTGAGATCATGAGAAAAAAGTGAGATCATATTCCAACCGCCCCCCTTGGTTGGTCTTCAAAGCATTCTCCAGAATAAAGTCTTGGAACAGGCTCAAAAATTATACATGGTTTTGTCTTTTCCCCCATCCCTAAAATATTTGAAAGCAATGCAAAATGCTGACTGCACAGTTATTTGAAAGATGGCTCACCTGTGGTTTGCTTAAGCAGTTCTAAACCATTTTGTAACACCTGATCTACATGTGGTTTCGTGAGTAGGATGTCCTCTTGTATAGCCTAAAAACAAAAGTACCATTTTTTATGTGGGAGAAGAAAAAATTAAAGCAGTATTAGTATTTGTTAATCACAGAGAATTTTAAGTTGGTTTCATAGAGAAATATCTGAGGATGCCCCTCACATTTTCACATACTCATTCTCATTCTTGTGTTTATGCCTCTTCTTTTTACCATTGTGCCCCATGCCCCATGCTGATCTACCATAATTCAGGGCACTCTCCTTTGTAAATACTTAGGGCCTATGAGAGTTGACTCTGTGGAGGTACTCAAGTACTGATTCAATATTAGGTCCTTGTATACAAAAAAAAATAAATAAATAACAAAATGAAAAGCTAAAAATCCAGCTCATTGGATAAGTTCAACTTCATTTAAAAGCGACATAATTAAAAATACTCTGTCTACACAGTTAGGGTCTTTTCTGAGTATAGCGACTCACCTAAAACATAATGGATGTAAAACAATACATAAATAAGGAAGATTAAATAATAATGAACAACCGAAATGAAAGAAATAAAATAAAAGAAATCCAAATACCCGGAGTTCAGACTGCTGCTTCCACAGTCCCTCAGTGCTGTAATCCTGGACTGAGAGCTTGCTCAGTTTATCATGCACTTCATTCAGCCAGTTCATCAGCTCAACTTCATCTTCCCCAAAAATCTTAGCATTACATAAGGCCTGCTGGAGAAGCTCAGACCTTCTGTGACTTTTCTCTTGAATCTCAATGTACCACACTTGAGAGAAGTCTAATTTATTCTGCACCAAATCTTTATCCTCCCTGGAGCTCAAAACCTTTAAGGATTGGCCAATGCTAACAGCCTGGTGTAAATGTTTATTGTGACTGGTGATGTCATCTTCTAAGGCCTAAATAAAGTTTAAAAAAAAGAAGAAGAAACACAAAAAAGAATGGACAAATAAAAATGAAATGAAAACATAAACAGAACTAAAGGATGACATTTGAAATGGATTTACTTTGCAAATATGCATAACAATAGTACATAACTGAAAATTTATGTCATAAAACCACAAAACAAATGGAAAACTGAGTTTTACTGATGTGTGATGATATCTTACTTTGTGCATTGCAATTTGCTCCTCAAGATTGGCAGCGCAGGTTCCTATGGGGTCTAATTTTGCCAGTCTCCCTTCTATGCTCGTGAGCCACACATTCAGTGGTTCTAGGGCTTCATGAAATTGCTGTGCTACCACCAAGATACCTTCCAACTGACGATTCCTACAAATGTGCCAAGATAAAGGTCATTTAGGGACAAAGAATGTGTGAAATATTCAACAAAATTCTGTAGTTATGCTCCTCTGTTCTACTCTAAAACACTTTCTGTAGAAATCAACTAAGATTAAAACTGAAATCTCTAACATTTAAAGAACATGTTAGAATAGTCCTGTTAAAACTAAAGTTGAACAACAGATCATCCCTGAGTACCTAAATCTCAGGAAAGGTGTATTTTTAAATAATATTCCTAATCATTTCAGCAATAATAATTAGAGTGATAATTAACAATGCTATAACAACAGCAGCAATAAAATAATTGTTGTTATGTACAGTGGTTGGTCCTGTTTAAGTCCTTTATATATTAACTTCAAATGGAGCACCAGTACTGAGATCACTTTTATGCCAAATTGCCAAAACGATTTAAAGTTTGAAAGACATGTATCTATCCCCTGCTTAGTAGAATTAATGCTGATTTCTACTTTATAAAAAGTACAATGTGTCAAGTTTATTTGCCAGAAGCAATAGTTTATATTTTATAGTTTAAAATATGAACAGAGATGAACTGCTCAAATTTTTCTTTACAATTAGAAACACTTTTGCTCAGCAGAGAAACCATATGTAAAATCTGCTTCCACTATCTTTGGTTGTTCTCTAACACAAATGACTGTGGTAGTCTGCAGTCAGAGTTCCTGATTTACTCCCAATCCTATAAATCCTTTCTGCCAGGATCAAGACTGGTTGTTGTCTTCTTTTCATGCTTAATTTGTAGGGAATTATATGATTTGGGGAATTAGATTTCCTTGAAGACAAGATACTTATGGAACACTAGTATAAGTTGCAATATATAATTTCTGTGTCATTATATGCTATATTATGTACAAAAAAATTCTTAAAGTTTTCAATGGAAATATGTTTGATCAAAAAACTGAATAAAATAATCACATTTTTTTCTTTACTTCTGGATGATCACTGACTCTTTTTTTTTCTGAATTTAAATATCCAATCATCTAGAATCAATGGAAACAATTGTTTTGTAATTGTGTTTAATTTGCCATAACTGAAATTGTGAGTCATAAGTCTAAGCATAAATTATAACTATTAGTAATATCCCTCCATTCAATATTACTCTGAAGAAGGTTTTAGGAAAAGAAGACCAGTTACAGCAGTAAAGCTACAATGCAGACATTTATTCATTCATCTTAAAAATATAAATTACTGAGAGCATCTTCCATAGCATCTTCCAGGCTTGCTGTCACCAGACATTACACAGAAGGTTTTATCTGTTGACATGTGTTAAAGAACAAGAAGATTTTTAGCATCCTTGGGAGTACCTCATTCTGTGGTCTTAAAGACTATAATTCTACTCCATAATCCAAGATAAGCAAATACTTCTCTTCCCCATTCTGGTTCCAAAGAAGGTAGGAATTTATGGAACAAACTTTCTGTTCAGTGGTTCATCTATGTTCAACCTAACAGTCTAGGTGACTTCAATGGAGCCACACTTAACAATGGTCAATGTAGAATTAATGCTGAAATGACACACTTAAAGCATTCTATAAGAAGAAGCATGTTGTGAGCAAGGGCCCAGTGGAGCCATGCTCTAGGCTTCTTGGCCTTCATGAAACTAGAAGACCCTTCCACCTAGTTAACTCCAATTCTTTCCTTAAGACGAAGCTTAGCTGTCATTTCCCTGACCCTAGTTTAGGTTCTTCCGATTATATGCTCCCACAGCACCCTGCATTTTTGCTTCCAAACATCACATTTGTCATCACTTTTCAATGGCAATAAACCCAAAAGTCTGCATCTTACCTGAGGACAGATAAGATGGACATAACCGAAAGCCTATGTCTGATATGTGGTATTCAGGCAATAACCTTGTATTAAAATGAATAAATCACCCAAGGGAAATGCTTTCTTAAAGAGTTGGGGTATGGCTGGTGCAAGACCTTTCCCTTGGAGGAGTAAGAGAGATATTGTAGCCCTTGCTACCTATGTTCACACACAGTATAAACACAAGAGAATAGGATTTGAAAAAAAGTTATAACTAAAATATACAGTAAGGTCACTGCTGCTCTTTCAAAAAAACTGGAAGTATTTATGTTACCTCATTTCAGCTTTATTAAGCAATGCTTCCCATCTACTATCCAAGAGACTCAGCTGTTTCAAAATCTTCACTTGATCTGCAGGTTCTGCTGTGGCAGCGATTTTTTCTCCTTCTCGTTTGATTACCTCCACAGTGGATCTGCGGTCATCCAACAATCTTTGGAGAAGCTTGAGACAAAACATTAAATATTTTAAACAGCAAAATAACAATTAAGCAAATATAAGGTTAAAAATATTGTAAGTACTTCTGATATTGTGACAGCAAGACACATTTTGTATGGATGCACACAAGAAAGGATCTGAGAAATGGAATTTTAAACTTATTTGGTTTAATTATTCATTACTAATGAGTCAGGCAGTGTGGTAAGGCTTTCCACGGTAGAAAAAACTAATATCGATAAAAAGTAACAGAATAGAAGGTGTTATTGGGATAACTCCACTAAATCTTGGGGAAAGTGCAAAATCCCCAATATTGTTTTTTTGTTGGTAGGGAGGGGATGGATACTAGGATTCTAACTCAGGGGCACTCAACCATTGAGCCACATCTCCAGCCCTTTTTTGTATTTATTTAGAGATAGGGTCTCACTGAGTTGCTTAGTGCCTCACTTTTGCTGAGGCTGACTCAGCCTCCAAAGCCACGGGGATTACAGGCATGCACCACCACGCCTGGTCCCAGTAGTTTTTAATAAAATAGTAATGCCCTAAACATTCAACAGTTATCTACAAAGTTAAAATTATTACTATAAATAATTAATACTTTTAAAACCCTTCCCCACATTAAACAATCTGTTATAGACAAGGAAGTTTAAACTCAGTCCAAGTCCACCAGTTTTCAAGTCTTTAAAAAAAAAAAAAGACATATAAGAGGTTGTGAGGGGAAAGGAAAAAAAAACAAGGGAGAGAATTAAATTACAGCAGATGGGATAGAGAGAGAAGATGGGAGGGGAGAGGGGATAGTAAAGGATAGGAAAAGGTAGCAGAATACAACAGTTACTAATATGGCATTATGTAAAAATGTGGATGCGTAACTGATGTGATTCTGCAATCTGTATACGGGGTAAAAATGGGAGTTCATAACCCACTTGAATCTAAAGTATGAAATATGATATGTCAAGAGCTATGTAATGTTTTGAACAACCAATAAAAAAGAAAAAAGGCTCTTGGCTCCTTTTACCAGGTGCAACTAGCTCCTAAGATATGTTAGGAGTATGAAAACTCAAAAACAGCCTTTAAGTATTATTTCCAAAGGGAAGAGAGTGTGGAACATGTCAGAAATCTCCAAAGCTGGCCAGATAAGATTATTATTTCAGGATTTTACAGCATAAACAAAATTCAATTTAATTCTAATGGCACATTTTAAGAGGTCTAAAATGAAATGTTTGCTACAGGGAGCCAGAACTCAAGAATTACCTTGCTCTACCCTAAGGAAAAACACACAATTTCTGAGCAACTGCCATGCACAGGCACTGTATGACAGTAAGGAGGAATGCACAAGTGTGCAACACACCAAGTGCTTCATGGCTTCCTTAATCTGATCCTGAATGGCAGTTAAGGACTAAAGAAGTAAAATGTTAGAGGAACATTTTGAGAAAAGACCACCGAGGCCAGAGGGAAGAGGAATGCATGTTTAAAAAGAAGGGGAAGGATGTCGAACTCTCAACACTGGTTTGAGTCATTATAAAAATCAAAGTATAGGGCTGGGGCAGTGGCTCAGTGGTAGGAGTGCCTACCTTGCATGTGTGAGGCACTGGGTTCGATCCTTAGCACCACATAAAAATAAATAAAGATATTGTGTCTGACTACAACTAAAAAATTTTAAAATAAATCAAAATATATAACAGGTGGTTTAGGCAGCCAGAGGAACTAATGAAGTGGATTACTTCTGATAAACTTTAATAGCAAAGCCTCTGGCAATCAAGAAAGCAAAAAGCAAAATCGATAATGGATTTTGCTGGCTAAGCATCATTAATTAACTCTGGGAAAATAACATCAAACTGTAAAAAGTAGCAGTTCCATTATTCAAAAATCATACAAATGCAATGTGTTTGCAGTTATGTTTCCTTAATCCTTACCTCTAACTTTATTTTCTAATAAGTGTACTTTCCCAATGTGCTAGTTTAAAAAAAATTAGAGATGAAATACAGATATTAAAGTATACAATAAATTTTAAATGTGGAAGTTTAAAAAAAATTAACTGACATAATAATTGCATATACTTATGGAGTGCAATGCAATGTTTTGATGTATGTGTACATTCTGGAATGATTAAACTAAGATAATTAGCATATCTAGCACCTTCCCTACTTACCATTTCTTTTGTATTGAGAACACATAAAATTTTAGTAATTTTGAAACATACATTATTATTACTAACTTTGCTAAGTAAAACAAAACCAGAATAGAAAGATATAATTAAATTTTAATTTAAAAGAATTTTAAATGAAAAAAAGTAAATTAATTAAAATTAATCTACTCCCTTTCAAAAATTCCACAGGAGAAAACTTACCACTGTGCAATGTACTAGGCCCCTTCCCATCTATCATTTCATTTCATAGCTGACAAATTACTATTGAAAATGTCATTAAATGTTTCATAACTGACCACTACCATCAGAAGCCCAAAACTGTACATGTGGTCCTGAGTAGTTATCCTTACACAGATTGTATTTTCCCACCTTGGACATTTTTAGCACTGTCATAAAAAATAGTGGCACCTTCCTGAGCATAAATGAATCCAACATTTGCCTCATTAGCACTCACTGAACTTTAAGAAACTGCCAGTATTTTTAATCCATAAAAATGGCAATTTCATATGAATAAACCTACCATATAAAGGAGCAAAGTACACCACAGATTCCCACTCTGGCACTTCCTGCCCTCATCGCTGCTCACTTCCTGATTCCTAGCCCTCATTCCTGGCTTTATTACTGTCTTTCTAACTTATCACTGTTTATATATTTGTTTATTGTCTCTCTCCTTATCCCTCCCTTCCCACTAGACTTCAAACTCAAGGAGGAATTTTCATGGTTGTTATTCAGTGATACCTCCCCAGAATAAAGCCTCGGTGAGAGATGTTCAGTAAGTATTGGATGAATGACTACCAAAATAACCTCTATAGCAGCAAGAACCAGTTCACTAAGATATCCTATTAATATAAGTAAGGAGGCACATTTTTACCCTCATCATTAGGATTTAAAACGGAACACAATACAAAAGCATCATTAACTTACCTTTTGCTCTTGTATCTGGGCCTTCACCACTTTGAACTCTGCAGATGGTGGCTTCTGATTGGCTACAAGCTCCTCAGTATCTACCATCCAGCTGAGCAGGGACTCCAGGGCATCTTGGAACCTCCCACAATGCAATAGGGCTTCCTGCAGCTGGGCTGCTCTCTGAGCCACCTGCAAAGTTTCACTTGTTTCAATTTATTTACTCTTTTCATAAAATAAAATCTGCTGCTGGCTACCCCTTTTCATGCTTCTTTTCCCATATGGTCACAAATTTTCTTTTACTTTTCACTTAAAATTAACACAAAGCAATTATAGTGGGAAGGATTTCAATTTTAGCAAGTAACACATGAAAATAAGGTTCTTATCCCAGTCAATATGGACATTAAATCTTTGAGCTTTTGGGAATGCCCAATATGTTTGATTAGCAATAAATGATTAAATTATTGAAAATAACCATGTATTAGTCATTTTATTATTATTGCTGGGATTCATTTTTTAAAATTTCCTACTAATGAATATCCACTTAAACTCTACTATCTTCAAGCTCTGGAGTCTCTTTTTGACAAACTAGGGCCTTTGTCTCCTAGTAAATGGAGTCTTATGTCCTACATAGAGATATCCTCTTGCTCTTCTCATAGTCTCTCCTTTTGGAGTGAAAAAGTAGTTGGCAAGTACTGTGGAATATATTTACACCCAACATGCATCCCAGTTGTGTTTAAGAAACACTACAAGATGAATCAGGCTCTAAAGAGTGAAAAGTTTTTAAGACATAGCAATGACTTAAGATTTCAATGCAGGGAAAATGATAAGAACCACTACCACCATTAAATAAGCAGTGCCATCCCATAATAATCTGGTCATTTACGTCACATGAAGAGCCACTGTGTGTCAGAATTATTTCCCCAAGATTATTGAAGCAATATTTCTAGTGTTTCCTCTCATGAGAATTTATTAAAAGGTTTCATAGGTAAAATATTTATAGAGTTGATGGTCTAGGGCTGATAGAGAGACAGAGCTTCTTTCACTTACAGTGTGAAATTAGTCACCCGCATTTGAAAATGGGAAGATTTCACAGAGAGAACATAATTTCCAGTTCTTTTGAAAGTAAGTAGAGTATCTGGCAACAATGGGCCTGCATCCCTGTATGTTGATAATTTACCAAAATTAAGAAGCTACCAGGTCTCCTGACATGGGGTCACGAATAGGTCATGGCTGTCTGCCATCACACCTGTTCAGTATCTGTAGCTATATCTCTGTCAAAAGTCAAGGCAAGGGCAGGGAGAAACCCTGTTTTATCCAGTTTATTTATTTATGTTCCCTACCTAGCTCCTGTGGCACCTGAGTTGGGCCCTACAGTTTATAGCAACATTAAATAAAAAAAAAAGAGACACGTTTAGGGAGGTTGGGCTACTATAAATATGATTAATGGTTACAATAAATGCTACTCAAAAATGATAATGAAGGGAATAAAAAAATACCTTCTTATTGAGAGTCTTCCACCGCGTATTGACTTCGTCCAGGTCATGCTCCAAACCCTGTGTGCTGGTGCTTTTAGCAGCACTCTGAATAAGGCCTTGACCTAACCAGTTTACATCTTGCTGTTTAACCTGCAAGGGTTCGATTTCTTCTTTCTGGAATACCTGCAGTTAGAAGGGCCATAATCATATGATTTATACTATCTACAAACTACCAAAATGTATAATGAGCATTTACTTTGTCATTAGGTAGTAGGAACTATCAATCATTACAGAAGTAAAGATACTGCCGTTGCCTGTTCATAGGTCTTAGCTACCCTGGGAGCTATAGTACAAAAGTAAACAACATATAAATTTGTAGCATATCAAACCCATTTGGGAATATTAAAGAATTATATTCCAATTAAATTATCTATAAAACCAAAAAGACAGTCTTATCTGTCCTCTCTTTATTGCTTCATTATAATCACATGATAAATTTCCTACTTTCTCAACTGAACTCTAACAAAAGGCTTATAGAAAATGCTAAAAAACAAACTGGTAAAATGGGGTCAAATGAGCCTTACTGGGCAAGGAATTCTCATCAGCTCTCATAAGGATGGGTGCTGCTAGCTGACAACTGAAGCTTTAGACTGAAACTGGAAATGAAGAATCACTGGCAAGACAATGAAGTGGGCCAAGAGGCCAGACACATGGCCGACCAGAGGAACAAACATGTAGGGCTGGAAAAGGAAAAAGACACAGGTATGTGCCGAAATAATATAGATCTCTGCAAGTTCAGCCTCCTCTCCTCCATGCCTATAAAAATATCCATGGGCTTGCAAGAAGCACCGTGGCCTCATCCCATGGATCTGACCACACATATCAGTGGCACAACAAGTCTGGTTCCTCTTTGGTCAATGCTACCTGTGCATCTGCTCTGAGCAATTGCCAAGGGCTGCCTCACCTCCTCTCCATTACATCCAACTTATGGTCACTCAGTCAACTGTGACTAGCAAAGGATGCAATGTATTAAATAAAAGCTGCAAGTTCTGTGAAAGTACAAATTTTGGCCTGTTTTCCTTATGACAGTTCTATGCCTGGGCCTACCACCGTGCCTAGCATGTTGTATGCACCCAATAATTATATGCCAAATTATTTTCAGTATGGAAATATTACATTTATACCTTAGATGACATCAGCTCTTTAACAAATAATACTGGAGGTAAATATATCAATTCCTTCACAGATACCATGTTTGTAATATAGGACTTGGAGGAAGCCATGAGAAAGATCAATTATTTTAACTATGTAAGGAAAGTTCTGGACAGATTTTAAGATAAAGCACTGTTTGGGATTCTGAGTTATTAGAGCAAAGGGCACTACATAAATAATCAATAAATGTCTAAGCAGAATATATGGAAACATAATATAGGCAAATATTAAAATAGCAATTAAGAAAAAAATCTATAGATATTATATAAAAATTAAATTTGAAAGATGTAGAGGCCACAGGAAACAAACTCTCCAAACCCTGGCCCAAAGCTGAGCACACAGGATACTCTTATGTTACTGTATGAATGAGTACATTAGGGAACAGCAATCAAATTACTGATCATTTCCTGTAAAAGTCCCCTCTAGCTAAAAGGCCAAGCTGCTTTTTCCACAGAAAATCCATATGAACAATTTCCATGCTGGCTAATTGTTTTTATATAACAATATCATATATAAAAATTAATTATACATAATCAAAGAAACAAGATCCCACAAATCACTGAGGAAAGAATTAACTTTTCATGATTTTTTTTAAAAATATAACTTACCAAATAAGTCAACAGAAAGTTGCAAAAAGGTGGTCAAAATAGAATTTGGCAGAATGATTCTATTTCTTTTCTATATCACTTTCTAAGTTACTAACTCTAGGCATCAGTAGCTTTGGATGTTTAAATATTTACAAAAATAATGGGAGGCATCAAGAAAAATTGCTATATTCTTAATTTCAGGAACTTTCATGATACACTGTAATGCAGAAAAAAAGTTTCCTCCTCTCTTGCAGTTGGTTATGAGGACTCACACACACAAACTAATATAATGTTCTCCTAAATTGCCTTAAACTCTGCTTTTGACTTTAATTTAGGGATAGATTTCAAAGAGGATTTAGATGAGTCTGGGGTCATTTCCTAAAGTGCTATAAAAATACAAAAAAAAGCATATAATCCTAAAATTAATTATCATCTACAAATTAACGACCAAATCCTTTACAGGGAAAATGCACTTTGCTAAGCTTTTAAATTAGTAGGCCATTTGTTGCATACCCAAGAAAAGGGTACGGATCACTAAAGCAATTATTTCATAGACTTAAAAAGAACTGTTCTGATGTTATCTAAATTCTTTATCTCTCAGTGGTAATAAGACACCTACGAAGATAGACTCCCCCCTCCCCAAACTAACCTACAGCACAGACACAGAGAAACCTAAAATAAAATCAAATTACCTCTGAGGAAAAGTTTACCAGAAGAGCTCAGTAAAAGTACTAAAATAGCTGAACTTCAATCTGAGTGGCAAGAAAAAAATTACAGGCTTGACAAACAACCTCTAGTTATTACTAGGCTGCACCCTTTACTTTCTTACCTCATCCACCACTCACAAGAAGTTAGGACTATAACGCCTGGGAAACTAGTACAGTGACTTTTCTACCCTCACATGCGGAGCTTCTGAGAGAAATTTTTTAGTGCTTTGAAAAAGTCCTCAATTTAGGTAGAAAAGTTTGCAGATCACAACAATATAATATTGTGTTCATATCTTCATGACTAAGCCTGTTGAAGCTTAATATACCCAATATAACTGACCTTAAATGGCAGTATCTTAAACCACAACTTGTACAAAAGCCTCACATGAACATAAATTCACAGTGACAACATTCTGAATGAAGGGGAACAGCCAAAATCGGCACAACCAATGGCAGGGCCCCAAACACCTGGAAAAAAACTGCTCCTCTTTTTAAACAAACAAACAAACAAACAAACCAAAACCACACAGGGGTCCCTTAGTTAATTTGTTATAATGCTCAAATTATCAATAGCTGGCATCTTACAGGGTGCTAATCAAACATCTCAAACAAATGACTGTATTTGATCATTACTAGAAACACTGGTAACCACTCTGAAACAGAATCATAAATGTTTGGCATTGCAAAGTATCACATTTCCATTAATTACCTGGACTGATTGGAAGCCATTGCATACTGTGCCCAATATTCCTGCCTGGGTCCCTGTTTTTCTGGGCACTGCTTTCTGTCTTACTGGCATGAATTTCAGGGAGCACTTCATATGGGTCACCTCCATCTCCTGGGCAGAAAGGGGAGGCTCCAGTTCCCCTTTAGATGCTCTGTTGGGTTCTTCTGATTCATATTGTGCTGACAGTGTCACAATTTCTACCAAACTTGTGCTACCACAATCTACATCACTCTCCTCCAGGGTGGTGTGAGAGAAATCTAAACCCTTTGTAAATTCCCTACTTTGTGCTGTCATTTGGGATTCTCCTGGTCCATAAGTGTTCTCCTCTTCCCAGGAGTTAGAAATGCACTCCTTTTCTTCATCTTTTGGCATGATTAATGGATCACCCTTAGTGCTCTCTTTCAAATCATTCTGCAGGCAACAATTTTCATCATTGATTTCCCTTTGATCATTTATAGATTTTGATTCCTCAAGTGAAGAAACATCATGCAAAATCATTTTGAAGTTATCATCAGGGTGGGCACTTCTACATGAAAGCAATGGGATTTTCTGTTCACTCATGGAATTAACAGAAAAAAATGGCCTATAGTGTTCTGTTATATGAATATCTTCAGCAGAAGATAAGCTTCTAATTTGTGACTGGTCTCCAGTTAAAATGCCCTGTTTTTCTTCCCTCTCTGCTTGAGGGCTACATAAACCAGAGTCATCCTCCTCAGAAGTCAGAGAATTAGTGCCCCATCTGCACTTGCTGGCCTTCGTAACGCCATCTGACATATCGGGAGGTTCAACAAAAGAGCTTTCACTTTTGTTTGCATAATCCATAAAATTGGCTGGGACAAACATTCGCCAAGACCGTCTATGCTCTTTCTTTTCTGCATGAGATTTGGCTTTGGGTAATCCTGTGGTTCGAATGATGTCACTATTCAGTTTGAGTGCATCAAAGATCATCTTTTCATCTAGTTTGTTAGCTTCACGACCTCTCAACTCAAATACACTGGAAGAAGTAAGGGCACCATTAGAGCATAAAGAACTAACATCCAGTGTTCTGTGACTGTAGGGTAAAGTCCGATCTGTAAAATGCCTGGACGACAGGCTACCTTTTGAACCAGAGTCTATCTGTTCATTTAGTCTAACAGTGTCATAGATTGACCTCTGTGGGACATAACAGTCTTCAATATTTAAGTCCTCTTCTTCTTCACCCTTCCCTACACATGGAGGATTCTGACGTAAACAGTCTGGTCTACTGAGTGGCTTCCCCATTTTGTAGACAGTCAAAACAAATATTGCAGCTCTTGACACAGAAAATAAGAAACAAAGTAGGGCATCTTGCAAAAAAGTCTGCTTCTGAACAGCACTATGAAGTGTCCTCAGCATAAAGACACATGCTAAAATAATACACGAAATATATGAGGTGCTTAGGGTCATTAGCAGTGCATCGGTATTAATGCAACTATCTTTTACCTGGCTGATTTTAGAATTATTCCAAAAAGTAAAGTGCATCAAGAACAGAGAACAGAAATCTCCTTCCTCTACCAGCCCCTGAAGTTCCCTTTCACATACTCCAAAACACAGAAATACACAACACTTAAAAGTGGCTCAAACACTCAGAACATTCCATTGTCAGTCCATTTCCCTTTTTTGTCTAATTTTGCATCTGAGGTTTCCAGATTAAAATTTCCAAATGAGCAAGCATTTTAACAGGCTGAATGTTAATTTCAGCAAAGCTCTGGTTAACTGTAATCCACTTAAAGATGGCTTGCAAAACTCCATCTCCTTTATAAATAAACCAAGTTTCAGAAACTTAAAAGACAGAGACCATGTATTGTTCAGCTGAAGGCACAGACCAAGTCTTCAGAGAAAAATAAGTTAATTCTATGTAAAAAAGTTAAATTTTTCTTTTACTTTCTCTTGGGGGTAATAACTATAAATAATCTTGATTCAAAAGGCAGT